CTTATTAAATGGTCTCAGATCTTCCTTTTAAAACAAAGGATAGCTATGCAATGTTACCAGTGATACCTTGTTCATCAATATCCCACTGCATCAGTTTTAATTGCCTTTTCTGTCCTAGCTCTATATGATGTATTCTTATTTTTTTCAGGACCACATTTTAATCCCAGTGCCATCCATAATTTTTATGACAATATTGGATTTCTAGGTCCTGTGGCACCAAAACCCAAAGGTAATGCTAGTAATTATTTTTCTTTTCAAATTATCTCTGGAATCAAACTGTATCATTTAACTTATTTTAGTCTGTAATATTTGTAATCTGTTGCTGGGAAAACTGTTGGAGGTCTGTAAAATTCAAATAATAAGTCATCACATTCATTTGCTCTAATTATTCTTGTTTATTTGTTCTTTTTTCTTGCATCATCCCATTTTTTTAAAGACAGGAGCTATACATTTACACATGCTAGGACATTTGATTTCTCTTCAGTTTTAAACATAAGAACTGAGAAATTATCTTGGGATATGCACACATACTCTTTCCCAAATACTGTTTCTTTAGTGTTTATGGTGCTGTGTTCTCTTTCTGATCTCTCTTTATCTTTCTTGGTAGACTGAAAATAAGGGACAGAGAGATCTTAACAGAAGACTCAACCCTCTTGAAAAAGCATTACCCACCCCAAATTTCTCCAAACCAGGAATACACCAGCATTTCTTTTGCACCTTTCCCCCGGGAAGTGGGAACCTTTTGTTTCATATTTTTTTCAGGATTTGGGGTGTAAAGCATTTGTTTTAGCTCTTTTAAAATAACCATCAAAAACAAATCCTATAGAATGTTGCATAGTTTCATATGACTTTGAAGCTAGAAAAAAAGAGAGGCAAGTACCCAAACCCAAGAAAAGAAAGAGGGAAATATGTCAAGTCCTAGCAAATTGTTTTACTTCATGTAAGTTCAGTACATTTCAAACTAGATCCTTTGTCAAGGGCCCTATATGCTCTTTTTTTTTTCCCCTGGTTCTTGAACTTGCATATTTCTCACCTTGAATATGTAGTAATTTATTCACTCTTGAATTATGAGTTGGACTTTTAAAATCACAGTAGTGAAAATAATATTTGAAAGTTTTAATATGTAACCAGTGTTGCTTACATAGAGTCTACTTGGGTCAGATGGGTGGCTATATAAATTTGTTTATTAAATAAATAATAATTGGAAAGGGGGAACATATAGATATTTTGTTCAGCTATTCATATTTGACCTTTGGTTTTTTTTCCCCCCACCTCAGCTGATCAAAAATCCGTGATTAAAACACCAAAGACTGTTCCAGATACTGAAGAAGATGAGGGAGCTCAGTGGAATTGTACAGCTTGTACTTTTTTAAATCACCCAGCCTTAAATCGTTGTGAACAGTGTGAGATGCCCAGGCATTTCTGAGCCAGGGAGGCTTACTTATCTTCTGTAAATCCAACTTCTGACTATTGTGTCATTTCCTTGGGATAAATAATCATTTATGCATAGGATTTTGTAAAATTGAACATGTGACAAGGTTTATTAGTAATGTTAAATGTCATGACACAGAGATAATACCTCAGTCTTGTGCTGAAGGCAGCTGGAAATTCATCGGCTGGAAGGTGATCTCCTGAAAGAACTCGGTTGCCAGTTGCCTAACATGTACAGTATTACCAGATGCCCATAAGAATAACTCTCACCAGGTTCAGTGCTTTGGTGTTCCCAACAGCCTTTCTCCACAGATGTCACTACTGAATTTTGACAGGGGAAGGAATTAGATTGATAGCTTTTTTTGTTTTTGTAAAGCTTTCAGTAAAACACTACATTCACAGAGGAAATGAAAAAGGAACAAATTGAAACTCTATTTGCTGCCACAGAGGGCCCAGGAATCATAGAAGAACTTCAGAAATGTAGAGGTACTCTTCATCTTGTCTTCCGGAAAACAGTTCCACACTGTGAAGACAAAAATCAGTACAATCATCTGAAGACGAGGAGAGAAAACTGCATGCTTTGTCTGTACCATAGTCACCGTGAAATACCCCCAAGGCTTTTCCTACTGTACATAGTTCTAGAATCTTCCTTAAATGACTTTTCTTCACCTTTTATTATTTCTTGTATTTCTTAATGTATAGTGTAATAGTCTTTGTTAACTTCCTTTCTCCCTTTAAGTGATTATGCACGATTGTGATCCCTTTGCGTTAAAAAAGTTTTTGATCTGAGAGAAGCCGTGCCTTAAAACAGCATTCATGACAATGCACAATCTAGCTCTTGTCTGCCTCTTCTGTATGTTGCTCTTGTAAATGCTGGTAATCTGTGAAGACCTGCAGATGCAGTATGTTAAAAATGCAGGAAACGTTCGTGCTTCTAGTTCACTCAGGACACTGATTTTTACGGTGGGTGACACCTGGTAATATTCTGCCCAGCAAACAAAAGCAGAAGAGAAATTGAGTCCCACCCCCAGCATATCTGCATCTGTTAGGCTTGCTTCATTTGCTGGGTATCTTTAAAATTCTCCAGAATTAAAAATACTGGGACTGGGAGGGAGAGGGACATACTGAGTACACAGAATAGCGGCAATAGCAGAAAACATTAATATGGTCATTGTTGGCAGCCAGTTCTTAAACCTGATTTGGTGGAGAATAGCAATAATTAGAATCATTTGAAAGACAGCCTGGAAAAGAGAAAACAAGCAGACTTGAAGCCATGCCAAGCATCTCTTTTTTTCATGTCCTTGTTTCTAAGGAAATCTATTCAGGAAAACTTTTAATAGAAACCAAGATCATGGTTTTATTTTTTATTTTTTTTATTTTGCTCTCTTGCATACTACATAAATGATATGTCATCTCTTGGGATGAGGTGAGAAGAAGCAATGAACAGCAAAATTGTGTGTGTATCTGCTCAGAATTAAGTGCCATTAAGTTCAGTGAGACTTACTGCAAGGTAAGTGGATATACTATTGCAGCCTAAATGTAGCGAGAGACAAAGTAGACTGTCACCCACTGTAAATATTTGCCAGTGGACATCTTCAACAGCAATTTTACAAGTTGTCTTATGAAAATATACAAATGCCTTTGTTTTAAAGGCTTTGTAATTTTTTAAATATGGGAATTAAATTAGTATCCCAAGTAATCAGTGAGTAAATCCAAAGTCCTTGAATTGAATGCATTATGTTATTAAAAAAAAGAAGCTTTGTTTTTCAGCTTCATCTGCAGTTCTATGTGAAGATTGATAAATGAATTTTTACCTGTTTTATTAATAAAACATAATTTGGATATCTTGAGTTGATGGTTTTGTGATTTAGGTGGGTTAACTGTCTTTGTAACAGATAAGTTATTTATAAAAATTAAAAAATATATTGTAACATCTGTTTTGTGTCTTTTTAACTAGGAAATAACATGTTTTGCTGTGGATATTAAATAATTGGTCAATTCTAGGATACACAGTGATTCTGATTTCAAATTCAGACCATGAAAGCTCTTCATTAGGTTTGAAATCCATAGCCTAAAAGCAAATCTAATGCTTGTTCAAATGTTACTATAGGTCAGTGGTGGCGAACCTATGGCACGCCCGCCAGAGGTGGCACTCGGAGCCCTCTCTGGGCACACGTGCCATTGCCCCAGCCTTGCTTCCCCCTGCAACTCCCTCCTCACCAGCCCCATCGTGCACAGTTGAGGAGAGTCGCCCCTGAGCGTGGCCCACGCAGAGCAGCGCAGCCAAGGACGTGGCAACCAGGCAAGCGTAGACAAGACTCTGCCCTCACGCTCCATCGTGCACAGTTGATGCTGCAGGGCGTGGACAGAGAGCGTGGCGCTGCTGGGCTGCCTGAGCGATCTGCGGCGGGCCCTGGAGGTGGTGAGTGGCCCTGAGGGCAGGTGGGGTGGGGTTGGAGTGGGGGCAGGGGGTGGAGCGGGGGCAGGGTCAGTTTTTGGGCACTCAGTCTTTAAAAGATTTGCCATCACTGCTGTAGGTACTTTTAAGGAAATAATCTGCTCGGTATCTGCAGTTGCTAAGATGTAACCTTAGTAAGCATACTGGCACAATCTTTGATTGCTTATTTTTATCTGTTATATATTAATACAGGTAGTTCCCAACTTACAACCATTCATTTAACAACTATTCAAAGCAAGGATGACTTCGGAAAAAGCAATTTCTAACCTGTCCTCGCACCTATGATTGTCATGCCACCTCTGCGGTGACATGATTGCAATTCAGGCACTTGGCAACTGGCTCACACTTGCAACCAGTTGCAGCATCCTGCAGTTTCATAATCACAATTTATTACCTTCCCAGCCAGTTTCTGACAAGCAATGTCAACTGGAGAAACTGGTTTTTGTTAACAACTGCATGATTTCTTGTCGAGCATGAGATTCACTTAACGACTGCAGTAAAAAAGGGTCAAAATCTGGTTTTCGTTATATGATAACCCACTTTATAACTGCACCAACATACAGCGGAAATTCTGGCCCCAATTGTGGCAAATCGAGGACTAGTTGTATGGAAATTATAAATGAATCGCTTTCTTTGATTAGTAAATTCTTATAAGAATCAGCCCTGTCTGAGGTAAATGACAAATTTAAAAAATTACAGAATGACATTTCAAAACAAGAACGTCGTAGGGATTATAAAAGCACATGGACTCAGCCAATAATACTTCACATGTGTCTACTATTTATGCAATATGTTAACTTCCTAACCGTGAGTAAATTGCTGTTAATTGTAATAAGAGACCAGGCTCCATTAAGTCATAAGTTGAGAATTACCTGTAAGATACAGGATCTAGAACTTGGATATATGCTAGTACATCTTTTTCTAATGGGAGGGGGAAGTTCCTATTGGGAAATATAGCAGGAAGAGAAGGGATCTACCGTTATATTTTCCTCCTAGATGTACTTTGTCCCTTCAGTAGCAATTTAAAAACCAACCCACCAATGCATTAGCATTTCCTTATGTGTCATAACTTGGTTTATTTGACAAAAGAGATACACTAGATGTAATTGGGTTATTTATTTTTATTTAAAAGAGCTGCCCTTCACCTTTCCACAAATAGGTCCTCCTGGTAGCTTCTACATTTATTTTGAATTCAAAAACAAAATATAATTTGTTTGCACAGTTCTCCCACAAGCAGACAATAAGTAAATTAGGAAGCAGTTGCAAAATAAGCCATTAACAGACATTATATTCCATCCACAGCTTCAGGAATATAAGAAAAAATTAATTGGCGCTTTCAAAAAACAGAAGTATATCAATTAAAATACATTTTTGTTTATATTAGCATCAGCACTTTGGACTAACCCTAAAAACAATAGAGAAACCTATGGAGATTTTTTTTTAAATATTACCGAAATATATCAAAATGTAGGTTTTTGGATAACAATCCAGGTATCTCCCTGTATTGGATCAGTTGCAGTTTCTGAAAATACCGTATTCAAGGATAGTCCAGTAAATAACAAACTAAACCAATCTGAGGGAAGAAGTATTTGTCCAGGAGGTGTTTCAATTAATGCACCAACCAAAAGATGTGGGGGGAGGGGAGGACTTGAACATATAAATGCGAACTGAAGGCCTATTTTCTCCTATTAGGAAAGGAGGTATAAATGTGTACATTCATAAGCCTAAAACATGGAGTCCAGCTAGTCAGAATAATTGAAAATGTATCCCTTGATGATTGGGAGAATACTGTTGTCATTTGTGCCTTTGCCTTTCTACTGCAAGACTAGCATGTCAGAGCAGCTGGCAGTCCTTTACTGAACTTGGCTGCTCTGTTAAAAGACTCAGCAGTGACAGCCCTGCTTGGGAGACCACCAGGAAATCTCAGATCTGTTAGAAAAACATCTTGGAAAAAGGCAATTGCAAATAACTCATATATTTTTGTTGTATTGTTGCCAAGAAAACTATAAATAGGATAGTCCAGTAAATAACAAACTGACCTACTCTACATGGTCATATCCATGTAGCCACCTGGAGTTTACTTTGATCTGAGCGTAGAATAAATGTGTTAAACAGAAACCTAACCAAACATAGATTGAAAAAACCTTACTCATGGTTTGATAAAGAATAAGAAATTGTTGGGGAATGGTTAAATAGAAACCCATATATGAAGCTGAAGCCATCTAAGAAGATGTTTGTGGAAAGTGCCTGTAAGAAGGATCCAAATAAGACTATAAATCGGCTTAATGGACTGAAAGTTAGGATGTATGTTTGAAACCAGTAAAAACATAAAATTTGTGCATGTGTTTGTATATACAGTATATGTCTATCTGTTCTTATCAGTTGATTTGCTGAGGTTGAATGTACCTTGCGTAATGAAGACATGAGATAACCTTCACCATGGTTTCCTATTAGGGTACCTACTATGCAGGTTCCCATGCTTCTTAGCTAATGGTATAAAATTTCTCACTATGTCTGTGTTGGAAGGAGTTGAGGCTTGGTTTTCCTGAAGATATGGGAACATAAACCTTAGGGGTTGCTGGACATTTGCTTTCTCTTGAGAAAATGGATTTTGAGCCAAATTCTGCTGAGACTCCACACCAGAAGGACAACTGTGTCTTCCGAGTGAGTTGGAATCTAACAAAAATAACTGGTCATAAGGTCTGGTTTGTCCAATATAACCCATATCTCCATACTTGTTATATGAAAATATCTCAGCTGAAGAATCTATAGAATCCTGTTCTTCATTGGGCTGGCCCTTTGAGATCTGCCTTGCTAAAAAGGAAGGTGTTTGTAAGGCCTGTATTGCTGATGCCTGTTTTCTGCAACACCCCTGGAAATTGCACATTTCTAAACATGGACAGTCCAAGCACCAGTTGTGATGAGACAAAAGTGGAGCCTGGCTGTACCTGAGATAATGATCCCTAGGGGGCTCACCTACTAGGGCTTCATATTTTACAGATCCTCCAAGTATATTTCCAGAATAAGTCCTGGCATTTAGAGAAGATGCAGCGAATTGCTCAGATACCGCTGCTGCATATCCAGTTTGACCATGTTGTAATAAAGTTAATGGAGCCTGGTGGTTGTCCTGATACATGTTTGTCCAGTTGTTAGCTGAATCCATCTGGTACTCTCCCATCTGTTGTGGGACACTCTTGTGAACTACTTCTGAGTTGAATGCTGTGCTGCTTCTGTTAATAGCACTTCTAGGACTATATAGAGATGATGGATGTCCATTCTTATTCGTGGGGTTTATTCCCTTCTTCTCTTCAGTCTTCTGACTGAATGAGTAGGTTTTTGCTTTGACACGGAGTTCATCAGCTACAGAGAGATGGTCCCAGTTCAGTCTTTCAGGGTGGTAAAATTTGCACTTGATGCCATAGGTGCACTTTTTGCCTGTGGGAAGTAAAATGACTAGATAATTGGCTAGTATCGTTAGGCATGGAAGCAGACGGGAGCATCTTATGCTTTTTAATTTTGTAAAAATAATCTTTCCATATACAGGTAGTCCATTTGTTTAGTGATCATTTGCAGTTACGGTAGCACTGGAAAAAATGACTTGGAGCCGACCCTCTCATGACCATCACAGCATCTCTGTGGTCACATGATCAAAGTTCAGGGGCTTGGCAACTGGCTTGTAGTTACAACAGTGGCAGAATCCCGGGATCACCTGATTACCATTCACGACCTCCCCAGCCATTTTCTAGTAAACAAAGTCAATGGGGGAAGCTGGATTTACTTAACAAATGCAGTTATTTGCTTAATGACTCTGGCAAAAAGGTCATAAAATTGGACACAACTTACTTAACAACTGCCTTGTGTAACAATGGAAATTCTGGCCCCAATTGTAGTCATATGTCAAGAATTACCTGTACTTTGATTTTATACAAAAACAGAATAATGTTGAGAAAAATTCTTTTGGGAAATTACATCTTTGAATGTCTGGAGAATATAATTTTGCCATTGAATAAGCAAAACACGCTGACTATTCTTGTTAGTGCCGTAATAGCAAGCTTCTCTTATATAACATTGTAATTGATGGTGGATGAAAGAATGTGGTATATAGAATGGGGCAGGAATTATTACTATTTTTGTACTATTTATTAATTCCCACTGTGCAAAAGGGAGTGCAACATACTAAAATCTGAAATTTTACTACCATAATATTCCTTTATATCCTTGTACTTGCCAGGTATGCAGAAGCATATAAAAATGCTTTGCCTAATACTTTGTATAGCCTTTGTATATTCCTACCTCCGTAGGGTGAAGTTTACTACATAGAAGAAAAAAATGAAACCAGGGATTATTTAAGATTTTTCTTGAGAGGTTCACTTTGAGACTTCATGGGCATTTCTAGAGGTGCACATAAAATGAAAAATGTGTTTTGTTTCATGCAGAAAACATATTGTTTAGCTAAACCATTCTGGGAGGGTTATGGTTTGATTTAGCCAAACTGAGACCTGGAACTTTTGGGTGTTTCTGTGTCTATAATGTCAGATAAGGTGGGTGCTTGCTCTCTTTTGAAAGATTTGTGGGTTCCAGATGTAAATATCTGAATGTGCAAATCATGTGCAAATTATCATGAACTATTGTTGAGAGAAGCCAGTGTTTTTAGTCTTGTTCTTTCTGTAACTAGTTTCATTGTAAATCTGGCAAACTAATGGATTAAGCCTTGAACAAAACTTACCATAAGGACAGAGCTGCCATTTTGATTCAGGGAAAAGAGGTTTTTTGCTAAGAAAATTGTCAAGAGAAGGTCCATGTCGGCCCAAAGGATCATCAGGTGGCATGAATCTAAAAATAATAACAGAAATTACTGAATCAACGTTCTCATGATTTTCTGACACGTGCTGAAGTTCGCAACCTATCTTTATATCTTTTAATATTCAAATGTCCTCATGGAAAATATACCTGCAAATATACATGCGAACTCTGAAACACGTTTTGAATATTTTTACATCTCTAAAGCCATCATAAATTAGAATATTGGAAATAGCAAATCTGCATGGGGCAAACCCTTTGAAGCTACAGATATAGATTGTATATTAAAACCAGTTAGTGACTACTCCAGCAAAATAAATGTGAGCTAAATCTGCCTTGTTGCCCATTTTCTGCATTTCTGCCTTGGCAGGCAAGTTAGAAAGGTTTAAGATAACACCTCTGAAAACCAGTACAGTACTGATAACATATTATAATACATTGATTAATTAAGTATTGTTTAGCATTGGGGAAACTCAATTCAAGCTTATATTCAATCTTTGAGCTCCCAAAGTGATTTTAAATGAAAAGGTCACTTTTGTTAGCCTAACTCACTTTGTAAGGCTGCTATGTGTGTAAAAACGAGGAGAGAATACATGTGGAGCAGAAAAATATGTGCCAGCCACGTGGAAAAGGGAACAAAAAATTGACTAAATGTATATTATAGCCACAATTTTGCAAATTATATCTATATTGATTCAGGGTAGCAAATAAAATTATTTCCATAACTAAATATCCAAGTTTTGATTTGTTTATCTTAAGTTAATAATCATTAATGATAATGATGATAATAATAATAATAAAAAATTGTTATTTTTAGATCAATCTGGTTTTATTTCCTTGACCATATCCAAGTACTGTTTTACAGTTTGTACAGTACGCTGTAATATTTGCTCAAATACTTTTTAGATATTTTACAGCAATTATATTTTTTTTCCTTTTTTGTTCTAATTGTGGATTTTGTTTTTCATCTGCTGGTCTATGACAGAAAAAAAAGATTGATTGATTGTCATGCTCCTGCTTCCAAATTTTAAACTTTAGTTCTTGCTCCTTGAAATCACCACTTTTTAACATTAGAATTCAGCTAGAAATTGATGAAATCTTGTTTGCGCATATATCAGACTCTTACTTGTCATTGACGAAAGAGTACATGAGCAGTCGCTGCTCAATGAACCATTTCCACTCAGGATTTTCATTCTGCAGATCTCGAAAGTTATCATTGGAAACAATGACCCCGTCTTGCTCATAGGCCAATTTGACAATGTAGCGATCATCATAGCAGATCATTCTTTTGCCCTTTATTTTGCGGGATGGTGTGTAGATGAGAATTGCTTGCTTGGCCAAGCTTTCAAGGATATGCTGATCTAAAAATAAAATGGGGCAGGAAAATGAAGAAATACTACCACACACACATACAAAAAATTGTCGCATGCAAAAGTGGAAGATGGGTTTTACAATGATCAGCATTGCACAAGGAATCAAAAAATGGCTTGGTCATGTTTTCATTCAGAATACAGAATTAATAGAGTTGGGGGGGGGACCATGGAGGTCTTCTCGCCCAACCCTCTGCTGATTCATCAAGTTCATGAATTTATAAAACACCATTTCGGTGCCCATTTAATTTGGAATAAATCCTAATGCTTTCCATTTAATTAGAATATGAACTGAAATGTAAATTATCTGGTCCATTGTGGTCTACTAAATGTTCCTGAATATAAGTTCTAGACAACCTGGCCAATGTTGAGAGATGCTAGAAGTTCAGCAACATTTGAAGGATCACACGTTCCCTGTTTAAACATTGCTTGCTATTTTTGTTTTATAAACTAATTCAATAAGCTATCTGTTATGTGCTCAAAGTTGGTTTGGAATCTATGATAACTCAACAACTGATTCTCACATCTGGGAGCTGAGCAAAAGAAAAAGCATACTTTTGGTAGTTTTTTGAAGTTATGGTTATTGGTAAAATAAATAAATAACCAAGCTAGCTGTTTCTTAGACAAAAATAATAGGAACTTAAAGTTTGTTTAACTATTCAAAAATCAGTAGCTATAGCAAAACTGATTGGGATGGTTCTAATTGTGTTTTTTTTGCCTTATGCCTTTTGTACTTCCATAGAAGCAGTGTTCTGATAAATATTTAATCTCATTGATTGAAGTATGAGTAATTTACTGTATAACTGGAAACTAATACTTCATACTGAAAATCTGTTGGATTTGTTCATACCTGTAACAGGGGTATCAAATCGAGACTGTTCCTTTCTCCAAGATGGAACGAAAACTTTGATGTACTGGTGACCTCTTTGTTTGAACCAGTCTACCACGAGCTGAATTCCTAAGCATGAAAACACTTCTTTGTTTCCATGACTGAAAAAAATGAAAAGCAATTATTTTTTAATGTTAGCAAGTTCAGTACATTTTAATGGCTTCTGCCATATATCATATGCTGGATTTAAAGGAGTTCTTGTGCCTGGGAGCTAAAATTTCTGGCTAGTGAGAATGGCTTTTTTTTTCTGTTAAAAAATGGATTTATAGTATTTTATTCTGTATTGAAAACCATTTCCTAGCTCAAAATGTGTCTAAAAGCATTTCTTTTTCTAACTGTTGTGTAATTTCAATATTGATTTTGATGGAGGGATGATCAGTTCCAGGAAAGGCAAAATATGTCTGATGTACTAACATATCTGATTGCTCTACAAAAGATAGATGGCATTCTACAAAAAATGGCATTTTGTAGATCTATCTTTTAAAAACAAAGTAAAGAGAGAAGACTGTTATCTTTGTCTATCTCCCACACCTTTTTTGTTATGAATCTTTTGGGAAGAAGGATTCAAATTAGATATTATTTTGCATTCTCCTGACTTAGAAATCTATCTGGATGCAGGGCCAAGAGAAAGATGGGAAACAAATGGATCTAGCAGTGCAATTATAATAAGATGTCTAATATTCAGGATTGAATCAGATTTGAAAAATCCCAGTAAAGTTCTTAGATGTCTGGCAGACTTCTATAAAAAAAGTGGGGTGGTTTGAATTTTGCCTGAAATCAACTTGTTGGTAGTAAAATTTATTTCAGTCTAAAGATGTTTATTTGAAATGTAACAGGGAATATATTTGTGTATTCTGCATGAAGTAGAGTTTCTACCTACTTTTTGGTTATCTATTCTAGACTCTAACACACAGGCTGGCAATCTGTGGCTCCGGAGCTGCATGTGGCTCTTTGAGCCTTCCCCTGCAGCTCCCAGCCTCCTCTGCCATTGGCAGAGAGAGAGAGTGACAGAGAGAGGCACTTGCGCTTCCCTTCTCTCTCTCTCTCTCTCTCTCTCTCTCTCTCTCTCTCTCTCTCTCTCTCTCTCTCTCTCTCTCTCTCTCTCTCTCTCTCTGTCTCTGTGTGTGTGTGTAAAAAAAAGAGAGTGGACTCACAGTGTTCTCCAAGGAGCTGAAAAGCTTATTGGGCGGGGCTCCTGCCTTGGCTGCATCTCTGAAGGAAGCAGGAAGAGCAGGAGAGAGCTAGTTAGCCCAGCTATACTGGCTCAGGAATTCTGAGAGTTGAAGTCCATAAGTCATAAAAGAGCCAAGGTTGCCTACCCCTGAGCTTGTTGGAGAACAGCTTGAAGCCAGCTTCCCATGTGAGCAGAAGATTGGAGAGAGGGAGAGAGAGGGGGGGAGAGAAAGAGAGAGAGGGGGGGAGAAAGAGGGAGGGAGAGGAAAGAGAAAAAGAAAGAGAGAGAGAAAGAGGGGGAGAGGAAAGAGAGGTGGGAGAGGAAAGAGAAAAAGAGAAAGAGAGGGAGAGAGAGAGGGAGAAAGAGAGAGGGAGGGAGAGAGAGACAGACCCTTTTGACATCTAAAATGAAGATAACACTGCATATACCCTTTTTTACCTTTAATATATATATATATAAAAAGAATAAAAGTAAAAATGTGACTTTTGGGAATGTCCATGTTATTAGAATAATGATCACTAAGAGAGTATTTTAAGAGAATAAAATTTAATCAACCATTAAAATTTTAATCAACCTAGCTTTCATCAAAATGCACTTGACATCGTCAGGGTTAAGAGGCAAGTACTGAGAGGAGATCTATATACCGTTGTTAAGCGTCTGCTTCCGGCTCCTAGAGCGTGTCATCGGCCGGAAGCAGATGCTTAACAATGGTATATAGATCTCCTCTCAGTACTTGCCTCTTAACCCTGACAATGTCAAGTGCATTTTGACGAAAGCTAGGTTGATTAAAATTTTAATGGTTGATTAAATTTTATTCTCTTAAAATACTCTCTTAGTGATCATTATTCTAATAGCATATATATATATATACATATATCAGAAAACATATATATACATACATACATACATATACATATACATACACACATACATACATACATATACATACACACACACACATATATATATACTGTATACACATATACATATATGTATGTACAGATATACATATATATGTAAATACACATATACATATATATAAAATGATAAAAAAGAATATATGCAGTGTTAGCTTCATTTTAGATATCAAAAGGGTTTTGCGGCTCCCAGTGTTTTGTTTTCGGTGGGAAACGGGTCCAAGTGGCTCTTTGAGTGTTTTGGGTTGCCTACCCCTGCTCTATCAGATACATTACCATTTCAAAATGCAGTCCACATCTGGGTGTTGAATGCTATGCTATGGCAACACCTAGAATCTTATAAAGAGCAGAATCTTACATAATTGACTTAAAATTATATTTAAATTAATTGCATATAATTAATGGGACTTTCCTATATTCATTTATTCCTTTTTTTTAAAGAAAACATGATATGATGGGAATTTGCATGTTGGACACTGTAGAGGGAACCAGAAAGAAGTAACGATTACAGAAATAAATAACACAAGTAGATAAATGGAGAAAGTACTTAAATTTGAATTAATAACCCAAAATGGAACAAAATACCTTAACAAAGGACAAAAGGAAGGTTATTATTGAAAGGGTGGATCCAGAAGTTAATTGTAAAAATGACTGCCATCATAGATTTAAAATTACACTTAAATTAATTGCCCACAATTAATAGGCTCTCTTCTTATGTATTCATTTATTCTATCCTTTTTTAGAATTCTCAGTTTGGGAACAGGTTTTTCACTGAAGCAGTTTGTATGCCATCAATTCCCTGGACTCCAGGTGGTTTCACATAAAATAAACAAAAATTTTGAGTGAAACACAGATCATGAACTTGTGACAGAAAGGAAGAGGCAGGATTTTTTTTTTCTTGTCTTCATGGAAACTAACCAAATAGGCAATAACTTTAGCAATATTCCACAATTACTTAGTAAATCTACTTAATTTCTTCTATATTGTAAAAGTATCTGTTCAAAGGGGGACTTTAATTACCCTGACATCAACTGGGAGACAAACTCTGCACCAAGTGGAAGATCAAACAGATTCCTGACAAATCTAGCAGACAACTTTGTCTCCCAAAAAGTAGAGAAGGGAACTAGGGGATTAGCCATTTTGGATCTAATTCTCACTAATAGAGATGAAACGATAGAAGGTGTTGAAGCCATAAGAACCTTGGGAGGAAGTGATCATGCAATATTGGAATTCAACATTATGGAAGCACAAGCACTAGAACACAGTCAAACTAGAGTCTTGGACTTCAAGAGAGCTAATTTCAATAAACTTAGAGTTTGGGAAGGATTCCATGGATGAGAATCCTCCAGGGGAAAACAACTCAAGAAGTTTGGGAAATTTTGAAAAGTGAGATAATAAAAGCCCAGTCTAGCACAATACCAACAAAGGAAAAATAACAGCTCTCAAAAGAACCCAGCATGGCTGCACAAAGAACTCTCTGATCAATTGAAAGATAAAAAGGACAAGTATAGAAAGTGGAAAGAGGGACACATAACTAAGTCAGAATATCAGCAAATAGCCCGAGCCTGCAAAGATGAAGTGAGGAATGCTAAGGCTCAAAATGAACTAAGGCTTGCGACCAAAGTCAAAAATAACAAAAAAAGTTTCTTTCAATATGGAAAAAACAAGAAAAAAGTGAAGGAAACAATTGGTCCATTAGTGTGTGAAAGTGGCAAGAAGGTGACAAGCAACAGGGAGAAAGCAGAACTATTTCACTTGTTTTTCGCATCTGTCTTTACACAAAGGGAAAAAGCAGACCAACCTATCAAAAATAGTGCCATAAAAAACAGAATAGAAACACAAGATACGCAAGAAAATGGTAAGTGAACACCTGTCCAGCCTAGACGAGTTCAAATCACCAGGACCAGATGGATTACATCCCAAGGTTCTCAAGGAACTGGCAGATATGATCTCAGAACCACTGAACTATATTTTTCAAAGATCTGGAGCACTGGGGAACTACCAGAGGACTGGAAAAGAGCTGATGTAGTTTCCATCTTCAAAAAAGGGAAAAAAATTGATCCAGGAAATTACAGACTTATCAGCCTGACCTCAATACCTGGGAAGATTCTGGAAAAGATAATCAAACAACGAATCAGCGAACACCTAGAGGCAAACCAAGTCATTAATAAAAGCCAACACGGGTTTGTCAAAAACAGATCATGCCAGACAAACCTTATTGCATTCTTTGACCAAGTGACAAAATTAGTGGACCAGAGGAATGCTGTGGATATAATTTACTTGGACTTCAGTAAGGCATTTGACAAAGTAGATCACAACCTACTACTTGATAAGATAGAAAAATGTGGGTTAGACAGCATCACCACCAGATGGATCTGTAGCTGGCTGACCGGCTGTACTCAGCGTGTGGTCCTCAATGGAACCACATCTACATGGAGGGAAGTGTGTAGTGGGTTGCCCCAGGACTTTGTTCTGAGCCCAGTGCTCTTCAACATCTTCATCACCGATTTGGACGAGAGACTAGAGGGGGAACTCATCAGATTTGCAGACGACACCAAGCTGGCAGGAATAGCCAACACTCCAGAAGACAGGCTTAAGATACAGAAGGATCTGGACAGACTTGAACACTGGGCACTAACTAACAAAATGAAATTCAATGGTGAAAAAAGCAAGGTTCTACATTTAGTCAAGAAAAAACAAATGCACAAGTACAGCATAGGTGGCACCATGCTCAATAGTAGTAACTGTGAGAGGGACCTCGGAGTCCTAGTAGACAATCACTTAAATATGAGCCAGCAGTGTGCTGCAGCTGCCAAAAAGGCCAACACAGTGCTAGGCTGCATTAACAGCGGGATAGAATCAAGATCACGTGAAGTATTAATACCACTCTTCAATGCCTTGGTAAGGCCACACTTGGAATACTGCATCCAGTTTTGGTCACCACGATGTAAAAAAGATGTTGAGACTCTAGAAAGAGTACAGAGAAGAGCAACAAAGATGATTAGGGGACTGGAGGTTAAAACATATAAGGAAAGGTTGATGGAATTGGGTATGTCTAGTTTAATGAAGAGAAGGACGAGGGGGGACATGATAGCAGTGTTCCAATATCTCAGGGGCTGCCACAGAGAAGAGAGAGTCAAGCTATTTTCCAAAGCGCCTGAAGGCAGGACAAGAAGCAACGGATGGAAACTAATCAAGCAGAGAAGCAACCTAGAACTAAGGAGAAACTTCCTGACAGAACAATTAACTAGTGGAACAACCTGCCTCCAAAAGTGGTGAATGCTCCAACACTGTAAGTTTTTAAGAAGAAACTGGATAGCCATTTGTCTGAAATGATATAGGGTTACCTGCCTGAGCAGGGGATTGGACTTGATGACCTCCAAAGTCCCTTCCAACTTTATTATTATTATTACTATAAAACTCTAGTAAACTAATGATTATTCTACTCTGCATATTCTGAATATTAGTTACTGCTTCTATTATATCTTATAGGGTAAAATTCACTTCAAGTTAAGTTTGACCTCTGATAGCTTCAAGGACATTTTAGTGTAGTTTTCTTGGCAAAAATATGAAAGTCATTTGCCATTGCTGGCTTCTGAGGTGTTTTTAGGGCTAGGGTGTCCAAATAGAAAGTAAATCGAATCCTGTTTAGGTGCTGCCACCTAGCTGAGTATCATATGTTATACATATTTTTTCTCAATTGTGCAGCAATTTCCTGTTGTTTACATATTTGCATGTACATCTCTCTAATCTAAAAAAAAAGTTCTTTTCTGCATCTTAGTGGCAATTCCAGTTCCTATGGCATGGACCAAGGGGAAATGCATGTAAACTTGCGATGGATGAAATCCATTGTTAGGTTATCAGAAGGTGTTGGTACCCTATTTGAATTTAATTTAAATATACTTTATGGTATATTTTGGTATGCAAAGTAACTAGAAGTCTGCTATTTACTTAGGGAGACAAACTCATTATCTTAAGACAGTGGTTCTCAACCTGTGGGTCGGGACCCCATTTGGGGTCGAACGACCATTTCACAGGGGTCGCCAAACAACGCAGTCCGCCATTTTTTCCCCCTTTTCCTTAGCTGTGCTACTCCCTTTTATTCTATTGGCTTTTGAAAGCCAATAGAATAGACTCTCTTGAATAGAGTCTAATTCTATTGGCTTTCAAAAGCCAATAGGAATTGTCCAGGCTGTCTCTGCCCTGCTGAGCCTACCAAAAGTCCCATTCTGCAAACGGTGCTGCACCAGTTGAGTAGTCCTCGATTTACGACCGGTTGAGTAGTCCTCGACTTACGACCGGTTGGGGGGGGTCGCGGCATTAAAAAGGTTGAGAACCACTGTCTTAAGACAATTTGCCAAGATAGAGCAGGTGCCATTATTTGAGTAGTAAGCTAACCATACTGGCTAGAGAAGGCTGGTATGGAATAAAGTGGCTTTCATTTCCTTTATTTTTACCAACAGAGTCTTTACACATTCACTAGGCAAATTCACAGAACTTTTTGATTGTTAAGCATAAGAGCTTATTTACATTAGCATTGTTGTCATTGTTCTGTTAGATACATTTTGCTTGATATTGGAGTCCCTGATATCCCCTCCGGGGTTGCATGTTCTAGGCTGCTTAAGACAAATTGTAAAATCCTTGTTGACTCTCACACATACGTTACTGCATTTTCCTGAGATACTGGGGACTCCTCTCTAAAGGGAAAGCAGCTCATTTGTATGGTTACCTATGCTGGTTAAAGACGTGAGTCAGGAATCATTTACTCCCAACTTTTAACTATTTCTTGATTAGCTGAACAGCATTACTCATTCTGAGACCATTAGATGTGTTGGACTACCACTCTCATTATTCTCAGCAGATGGGATCTTTCTGGTGGGGAATTATGAGACTCATAGTCCAGCAGGTGCCAGTTTATTATTACTGCAAATATTTCAATTCATAAAAGCTGCATAATTGCAAAACCACTCAAGGCAATGTACACACGTTTTAAAACACATCATAAAAGCAAACAGAAAAATTAAAAGCCAATAATGTTAGAAACAAAAAACTTAAGCTAGCAGTGTTGGTAACTTTACGTTGCGTAGATTTCAACTCCAGCATAGCTGCCTGGGAAATTTTGAGAGTTGACGTTCCACGCATCTTAAAGTTGCCAAGTCTGAGAAACACTATTCAAGGGTACATCAAGGACACACACAACTGTCATGCAAATCTGAGAAAGGAGCCGGGCATGCTGCCTACATGGAACTAATGTAGTAGATAGATGGAAGTTTCATCTTAGAAGAGTCCACCTTTGTGAAACCCTTCCTTCAACATACCATGGTAATGATAGTGCCAAAACTTGCAGTTCAGTATAACTGGAGGGCCCCTGATTGTGAAAGGCAGATTTGTGCTCAGTGAAGTCATGTGAACATGCATGCATCATTTATTATTTTTTGTTCTTTCTCCACCCCACACCCAATATGTTTAAATGTAAGGTCACTGACTCTGCAGACACTTTTCTGTGCCACTCACCACACTGGTTTTTGTCATCAGGAGCTCTACAAAAAAACAGTGAAATCTGTTGTCGTAAAAAGGACTTTTATCTTCACTTGAATTTTGTAATAAAATGGGCAGCAGAAATTTAACTGGCCTTGGATGCAGATCTCCCCGAGATAGGATGCCTGTCAGTTTAGGAAATGTGCAAAAATGGATTTTGAAAAAAGAGCTTTTTTTGTATGTATTTAGTCTCCTCAGCTACAATTTAGATAAGATCAGTTCTCACATGAAATGTCCTTCCTGGGGCCCCTATTTGAATGTAGCACATCTTCATGCTGTCACAGCTCAGTTACGTTAGAGAAGAACTTTATGTCATAAAAGTTTGAATGCGACACAATCACACCATTAATACTATGCCTTCCTGAAAAAAGGAGTGGTCTCACCCCAAGAACCCACAGTTGCATTCAGCATATTTTAAATATTCCATCTTGACCTGTAACATTCTAGGTCTGCAGAGCAAACAAAGACAACAAAATGGAAGGATGCTTGCCTCATTGCAACGTTGCTCCCATCGATTACAATAGGTCTCAAATGACCAGTCGCCTCATTTGGTTCCTCAGTAGAGCTCTGGGGAAATGGGAGGGGTCCAGATATTCCATGGGCAGCAAGATTGGGCTGAAAACTTTGTGTCCCATTCTCACTCTCCACAGGTCTCCTCCCCGTGAGAATCAATTCTTGCAGCAAATCATTCTCTGAAGCCTCTTGACCTAATTTCCCCAGCACTTTGCACACCTCCTCTTTGCTATAGCCCAGCTTATGGAAGAATTCAAGCTTGTTCTGTTGGGCTTCCATGTTTGCCCCAAGATAGGAAATCCTGCGGGAATAGAACTTTATAAATTAGAGAATCAGATGGTATAGCTGGGTGCAGGGAATAGTTGTGCTGCTTTTAGTCAGTAATGATCATCCAGTATAGCAACTGATAATATGTCTTTTAAAGAGAGAAAGAAAAAAACAAAAATAATTATTTGGTGACAATGATAAATCAAGGAAGTGCCAATTAGAAGACAAAAAAAAACACCTTAGAGTAAGCAATTTTTCTAATATAGAACGATTCGTTGTTACAGAATCTAGTATACTTTTTAAGAAAATTATAAAATCGAATTATTGTTTATAAAATAATCATATCTCTACTATTTATATCCCACCTTTATTATAACTCAAGGTGGCGAACATTCAACACAACTTCCTCTCCTATTTTTCTTACAACAGACCTGTGAGGTAGGTTGGGCTGGGAGAGAGACTGACGCAAAATCACCCAGTTGGGTATTATATATTGCAAAGAAATATCTATATAACTTTAATAAACATAATAAAAGTTTGTTTTCTATCCTTGAAGTGCATTGTTAAGCAAGCCCCAACATTTCCCAACGTTCAGGTTTTTATACATATAATATTGACAGATGTTCAGAGACAAAAAGCTCTTGGGAATCTGTTCATATGAATCTCCGTTTTTCAAACTGGTGCTCACTATCAGAATTTGTAACTTGCCTGATGATCCTGGAAGAAATAATCCTAAATCATTTGGAGACCCTCAAATTGTGCAGAGTTTTTGCTGCTTAGGATTCAGTCTCCTCAAGGGACAATTTATCACACATCAATATAATGCTTTCTAAATATTGGATAAAACAAACATTTCTATTTAGATTTCTCTTGAGTTAAAAAAAAAAAAAAGCTCATGAGGATAAAATAGAGTCTTTGCTTTACCAGTCTCAGATTGTGTTAGCTCTCTTGACTTACCAGATGTGTACTGCCTGTCTTGAGATGTTCTGAGCATCAGTAATTCTCTCTTATTAAATATAACCTCTGGGAAACCAAAATCCATCAGAACATCAGGTATGTGCCTAAGATAGGTGTGCAAGAGTGACGTAGGCCAAATCCTGTGCATGTACATACGCACGCAGATTCTTGACTTCAGCCTTATCTCTGATTAAAACAAATGAAAAACAACTTCACCAGGGAGTTGCACTGTGGTTAGCAGAGGACAGATACCATCTCTTTTGCTAGTGAAGTAAATAACAAAGGGTTAGCAATAAACATTCTCCAGGGTTACTGAAAAAAAAAGTGTCATTGATAATTTGAGACCTGATTATGAGGTAGGTGGGAGACATTGCTTTGACTGCATGTTTAAGAACCATTGTGCAAAGAGAACCCGCAGCCCTCTAAACATTTTGAGCTTTAGCTTCTAGCGGTCCCATGACTGAGTGGAGGGAAATTCAGAGTTATCATTCTGCACATCCTCTTTTCAAGGCAGAACTGTACTGCACTTCTAAATTTAGCTCATTATCATGTTGCATAATCTTTGAATTCAGCTAAATCCCCCTCCATATTTTTTATTCACTTGTATTACTTTTCTCTTTGTAAAGGGAAAACATTTTTTTTCAATGGTCAGGCATTAATGCAGGCCTCGCAATCATTAAACCATTCCATAAGCAAACCAAAATGATATTTTTTTCCAATAGTTACTTCAATTAACATACTTTTTTTGACATATTCATAGCATTTTTTTATGGAGCCCTTGGTGTTCTGGGACCTTGGTTGTATGCTTGGAGACATTTTATTACCAGAGCAGGTAACCTCTTTAGTGCTAGAAGGGAAGGGGAGGGGTTGCTCTCTCTTTATATATGGTAACTTGTTGAAGGGGATGTTATTTTCTCCTTGGTAGTTCCTTGATTAGGGTCTCATTTACTGTTTGTTTTCTTGGTATGCAGCTGTAGTGTTACAGTATAAATATAGGTAAATAAGTTATGGCCCTCAGGTATTGGTATAATTTGCTGCCACTAATACCAAAATATACAAAACATTGTGCTAGGATTTATTTTAATATATCATGTCCTGGAGGGTTACATTATAGGGCAAAATCTGGAGTGGGCAATGTTCATTTTCACAACTGAATTAAAAAACCTGATGAATGAGACTGATCTATGTGTAACTAGGTTCAGGTGTACCGTAATAAGGACATCTTATTCTGTAAGTTTTTTAGAATTCCATGTAACTCTATGGGCTGCTATCTAGACATCTTGCTTGCAATTTTGGAGGGATCAACCTTTGCCTCTAATATGCCAAGGAATGAATTTGTACTTGATCATTTTATTTCTGAATGTATGATCTATCACACGGTGCAACACACTTGAAAAAGTAGTCAATTAAAGCCTTTGAGTTAGTTTTGACTCCTGGCCGCTTCCTGGACTAGTTCCTGCAGTTTTTTTGGCAAAAGCTTTTAGAAGTAAATTGCTTTTACCTCCTTTCTAGAGCTGAATGTGACTGGCCCAAGGTCACCCAGCTGGTTTTGTGCCTAAGTGGGACTAGAACTCTCAGTCTCCCAGTTTCTAGCCTGGTGCCTTTACCACTATATCAAATTCACTCAATACATATGTCTAAACAGAACTTAACTGCAGGTAAGTGGCCAGCCCATTACAAACCTTTGCTGTTTATTGAGTCAAACATATCTGTCTGCCTCCTTGAGAAACATTTTATAAAAATTTGTAACTCCCACCCCACCCCACCCCCATCTCCTCTCTCTCTGTGTGTCTTCTTCTACACTGAACATGTTCCAATCACCACTTCTCCATAACTGGTCAGATTGAGCAGTTGTTTCTCCACCTGCAACTTTGGCACACAGAAAAGGGAAGGTATAGTTGTTTTCCATCGGTCTCGGCTGCTTCATTTTATTCCTCTGGAGTCTCTCAACATTATAGTCTTAACACTCTGAAAGCAGGGAGGTGGGCATTTTCTATGCCAACAATTTCTATGCTTAAAATACTTTGCCTGCAAACTTAATGTTTCCCAGGTCTACTGACCTCCCTCTTGGATTATTTGATTCTAATACACTCAACAATCTGGGCCCCAAAAGCCAGCTCTGGATACTCCTTGTGTTCCTGATGTTTTGGTCCAAAATGAACCCAAAATATGGTTGTTCTAGGCAGAAGTGATTCAGAGGAAAAGGGAAACATTAATGGTGGCAGTAACAGGAAGAGAAGGAAGGACAAGTGCTGGGAATATCACAGGTGGGCTGGCCGGTAGAATAGAGATCTTTGTTAGGCTAATACATTAGTGGTGGATGAAGGGAGAGAAGGGAAGGGCTAGGAAGATAGGGAGAGGGTGGTGGAATAAGTTTTACAGGGAGGCATGGAGGGAAGAGGAAGGGCAATGAGAACCAATCTTGACTTCTAAAATTACTCTAATTTTTTCCCCAGGTTGTTTCTGACCAAAACGTTTTGGGTTATTTTTGCTCAGCCATGAGCTAAAATGGTTGAGAAGTCGGGAACACAATGGTCTTCCATTCTGTGCCCGCCCATTTAATTTTCTTCAAAGCTGCAGAGATAAATCTGCCCTGGGAGAAAAGCTCTCTCCCTATTCTCCAAGTAGATGGAATCTATGCCAATTCCTTGCTTGTACTTGGAGGCCTTCTCAGGGCAGGATACAAGCATACGGCTATACATTAAGCAAAGACTTAAAGATGCTGTTTGGTTCCAATTTGGTCCTGCTTTCTTCTCCCCACCGAATGCTTTTGCAGAACTAGGTTAAAAGAAAATGATCCGTACTCACAGAAAGCGTAGTGCCTTTGCTTAAGAGACTGGAATGGCTAGGCTGGCTGTGCCTTCGCCGTACCCCAAGGAGACGCAGAAGGCTACACTGTGTTTGCAATTCTCAAGGAAGTTCAGCTATTTTTTTTTAAGGCACACTGTTATTGATTTTGACAAAGTGCAATGTGCAGTTTATAACTCATTTCATGAAAACATTTCTACTTCCTTAATGGGCAACTCCTCATTTACTTATTACAATATACATACTTCAATTTAGCAAAACAGGGAGGGCTAGCCAGATTACAACACAAAGGTCATTGTCCACGTGAGAAATAGAAATCATAAATAGCAGGATTTTTTTTTAGCTTCATTAGAATATTTGCAAGCACTGACATATTAATCAACAAATGCATTTTGTTCTCTCCCTTGCTTTTTGCTCCATTGAGATGCAGAGATTTATTCCACTTTCCTTTGTTTCCCCTCTCAGCTCGTAAGGCTTGGTGGAATTGCCATGGGAAACACATAAGGAAATAGGTTGGGTGCATTTTACTGCTCTTAAAACTGTTTAGCAAAGAAGGTGGAAGATAAAAGCTTTCAGTTGCTGAAGTGATCTGATAGGTCAGGCTTGTCATAAAGCAGTGATTCTCAACCTTTCTAGTGCCGTGACCCCATAATACAGTTCCCCATGTTGCGGTGACCCCCAAGTGGGTGTGGCCACCAATAAGAGGGAGTAGGACAGCTAGGGAAAAGGGAAAAAAATGGTGGACAGCATGGTTTGGTGACCCCTGTGAAATGGTCATTCGACCCCAAATGGGGTCCCGACCCACAGGTTGAGAACCACTGTCATAAAGGGTTTGGACACTGTTCTAAAATGTACATTATTCTAAGAAAAGCTGCAAATTTATAATATTTATTTTCTGTCTTTTAGCTTCCCAAAGAAAATTTTCTACCCTGCAAACCTGGTTAACATGAGAAATCTTAAAGCAATCCAGTTTCAGTCAGATCATGGATAACTAGGGGAGGGTTTTGGTGGCATTTAAAACAGACCAAGGGTTGAGCAGGTTCTTGAGCAGCAGGGTAGAGCAGCAATTAGTAATAGGTCAAAATATCTTAGCTTTATAACTTAATGAAATTAACAATTTCTCACTATACAAAGTATGCTTTCTCTTTTTCAGACTAAAAAAAATTACAATTTGTTAGGATCCAGGGGCTACATGTACCTCTGATTTGCCTATTCTGATTTAGAATCATTGTGATGTTAACACAATTGAATTCTTTCATTGCACTGCTTAATGAACAAATAGTCCATAGAAAATGACATGCATTTGGGATGAATGTTTTAAGGGAGACAATCTAAGACTCATTTACAAATCACTTGCTTTTTTAAAAACACATAATAGCTAATGAGAGGGTCTAAGTAAAAAAAACCTTAAAGACAGAAAAAAAATACTCTGTTACAGTTTATAGCTGTAGCTATAGTTTAGCCAGCATGTTTGTTGAAACTGTCTACTTATACCAGGGGTCTTCAAACTTGGCCCTTTTATGACTTATGGACTTCAACTCCCAGAATTCTGCTGGCTGAGGAATTCTGGGATTTGAAGTCCACAAGTCATAAAAGGGCCAAGTTTGAAGACCCCTGGCTTATACCAACAGGTAGTTACGTCTTCCAGAACAAATCATCTATTTCTTTCTCACTGCCATATTTCGCTTTATATATTTTGCGTTATACACTCATTTGCTTTCATAAAATGATTCTAAGAAGGGGAAAAACACCACTACCACATACGTATATGGGGGGCTGATAGCTTTTTTTATTAAGAATGTACAATTTTACATTACCAAACAAAGCTACATTTAAAAAAAACTGAATCCAAATACAAAACCCACAGGATTTGCTACAGCTTCCTAACTGATATAGATTTACTGATATATTTGCTGAAATAGATTAATGTTGCTATATTAGATGGCAGTGAAACTAAAAGATTTGCATGGAGATATTGCAGCTAGTACAAAATGACAGTCGTTCTTTTGTGGCAATCTAGATGTATCAATATTGTACACTGCTATAGTGCAAAGTGAGACTTCTCATTTTCTCTCTGAAACGACAAGTATTTAGAGCCACTTCAGCAAGATGAACTCTTAACAGTACCAATTGTATGGACTAGTATAGGGATAGGCAACCTTGGCTCTTTTATGACTTGGGGATTTCAACTCCCAGAATTCCTGAGCCAGCCATGCTGAGGGGAAAGGGAGAGGTTTCCAAGCTGAGCCATGCTGGCTCAGGAATTCTGGGAGCTGAAGTCCACGAGTCATAAAAGAGCCAAGGTTGCCTACTCCTGGGCTAGCATGAATGATGAACTATGTATTGTAACAGTATATATTTCTATATTTTTATATATAAAAATTCAATATTTTCTATTTGTATAAATACTACAGGGAAGCCTCAACTTGCAACAAAAACCAGATCTCCCTCATCCATGTAACCGTACATGCTTCACTCATTAGCAGTTTCCTATGAGAAAAAGGGAAGTAAATTCATCCAGTCTTGAATAATGTCCTCCATATTAACTCCTTTTAGAGTTAAAAGTGATTTAGAATTCCTTTCTGGCAGGAACAGCAGCAGACTGCTATTCGTAATTACCCAAACGCTGCAGACTCTTGGTTACTGTACTGTAGCATGAATTTCTCTTAATTTCTCTACAACCTGCAGTTTTTAAAAGGCAACAAACATAGCAGTAGAATCCACCCAATGAAGATATCCTCCCACAGAACTCCATGAGGCAGAATCAGAGGGAGCTTGAAGATCTTCTGGAAGGAAATGCATTGGCAGTTTCTAAGGCAGATAAATGCCAAGAATGTCCTTATTTATATTTGGACTTTTCCTTATTTTTGGACTTTTTGGGATTCCTTTCTGACTTTTTCTCTTCATCGTGGTCTCTTTCCCAGGCTTCCTCGGAATGCTTGTCTTTAGACTTTTTGTGGTGGCTTTCTCTCTCCCGAGAATGGCTCTGGCATCTCTCTCGCTTGCCGCTTTTTCTTTTCTCCCTATTGCATTCTTCTTTGTGCCTTCGGCCAGGCTCCTGAGAGAAGAAGGATGAAAATGTGCAGTTATTTGCATTGATGACACAGAAGAGTAGAGAAGAGGAGCAGGTAGAGCACCAACAGTTTTCAAATTCTGCCTGCTCATTTTCATGCTAGTCCTACAGAATGAATAGTAATGTACCAATTCAGTCTAAGTAAATTATGCATTGCTAGACCTTTAAAGGAAACCTCTAGGAAGAACAAAATAATCTATCCTACATTATGTATAAAAATATGTGGGTTTTTTTAAATTTATGATTTGAAGTGTAAAACAATTTTTTTCCAAATTATTTTAATATAACATTTTAAGCTGCTTTTATTTCCTATTATGTTTCAGTTTACATAATTTGGGATAATATCAATTTATTTTGTCAAAAAAATAGGAAATATAAAAACAAAAAAATCAGAAATTGCTGTGCTTCATGATTTAAAATACAGCATTAGTCAACCTACCTACTTTATGGTGTTGACTTAAACAGATAATTTTATCAAATTAAGGCAGTGATTGTCAATATTGGAGCCAATTGCAGACCTTTTTGAGTACCTCCAAAGAAAATTAACTACGAGGGGCTTCTGGGTACAGCAAGAGGCGTAGGTAAAGGGCAACTGCAAGCTATTCTCCAAAGCGCCTGAAAGTAGGACAAGAAGCAACGGATGGAAACTAATCAAGGAGAGAAGCAACCTAGAACTAAGGAGAAACTTCCTGACAGTTAGAACAATTAACCAGTAGAACAACCTGCCTCCAGAAGTGGTGAATGCTCCAACACTGGAAGTTTTTAAGAAGAGACTGGACAACCATTTGTCTGAAATGGTATAGGGCAGTGGTTCTCAACCTTTTTAATGCCGCGACCCCCAACCGGTCGTAAGTCGAGGACTACTCAACCGGTCGTAAGTCGAGGACTACTCAACTGGTGCAGCACCGTTTGCAGAATGGGACTTTTGGTGGGCTCAGCAGGGCAGAGACAGCCTGGACAATTCCTATTGGCTTTTGAAAGCCAATAGAATTAGACTCTATTCAAGAGAGTCTATTCTATTGGCTTTCAAAAGCCAATAGAATAAAAGGGAGTAGCACAGCTCGTTGTTTGGCGACCCCCGTGAAATGGTTGTTCAACCCCAAATGGGGTCCCGACCCAGAGGTTGAGAACCACTGATATAGGGTTTCCTGCATGAGCAGGGGGTTGGACCAAATGACCTCCAAGGTCCCTTCCATCATCATCATCATCATCATTATAACTTCTGTAATTCCTGACCATTCGCCACATGCTGATATGAGTTGCAAAAGCTGTAATCCAAGATATCTGGAGAGAAAATTGCTTTCCCCTGCACAAATGTTCAGTTGCAACTGAGATCAGTAATTACTTAAAAATAATAATGAGATTTGAACCTTGACATGTCGTAAAACAATGTTATATACTCTGGAAACAAACAATAGCTCTGTGGTTGCTTTTTTCTCTCTTTTTTTTGGTTCCATTATATATTCCCTCCCAACCCATCTTCCCTGGAGAAGATCAAGGCAGAGGAAAAAGAAGGAAGGAAAGGAACATCCTGCTGTGTGAATGGGATTTACCTATGAAACTTTAAGGCAATTTAAGCTGTTATAGACTTTTATTACACTTTATTTTTCTTGGCCAATATCAGATATTTCGCTTTTGTTTACAAACTAGATTCTGTTAGGATGGAGAAGAACATGAAGAAAAGGTTGCAGTGTGTATATTTCTATGTTCCCATATTTCACAAATTATTAAAACTATTGACCATACTGTTAAGTGTGAAACATCCTACTCAAAACTGTTAAAACAAGATATACTACATCTGAAAATAAATCCCTCCAAACCTACAGACAAACACACAGTGAAACAAAAAGTTGCAAAGGCTGTTTGTAAAACAGTTCAACGAATGCTCTGTTTGTGAATCACATGGATTTTACAACACTACTTCGGAAAGAATTGATTTTCCAGCTAATCTTTTCTCTTGCTGATTTAACTTTACAGTCCCAGGTGCAGTAGCAATGATGACCTGCAGGATTATGATCCCATGTTTTTTTGCTGTGTCTTTCTTCAAATGTTTTTCCCAATCTGTTATCATTAGCAAAGTGTCTCTTTGTTTTCCAGTGCTGAATCAGATTTGTTATCCTGGTCAACAGTGCACATTTTAATCAATTTAATTTTTAAAAATGTGTTCTGGGATAATTCCTAGCAAAGCAAAACAAAACCCCGAGGTTTCAATTCAAACTTTGTTTCTGAGATTTTTGGAATAATAATTCTTTGTAGTATTTCTGGGGTTTTTTCATAACAACCACATACAATAACATATTCCAGCATTTTTGTGATTATTAACAGAGTTTTTTTTCTTTTTACGATCCTGTAATCTCTTTTATCGGGGTGGAGTTGGGGCAACTGAATGGAGCTCAGCATTTACTGGCCGGATGCCCTTCCTGAGGCCTACGCGGAGTTCACAGCAGATATTTACTCTTTGCGCCTTGACAGAGAAATATCTGTCGCTGCCTAGGATTGAACTCTCAACCTCCCGAGTGTGAGGTGAATGTCTTCACCCCTAGGCCACAGCGCTGCTCCTCTTTAACAGAGTTATATGCTATCTGTAAAATATTTATGCCAATTTTCTCTTAAATTATAGCGTCTCAAAAAGGTTGGAACCCATCATTTCAGTGTACTAAAGGCGACTCATTTATTCGTGCCTATTTACCAGCAGAAGACCTTTTTTTAAAATAGCCTTTTCTTTCACTATGAAAGGTATTCCAGTTTATTGAGGTTTTTAGACAGCACTTTAGAATAATATTAAATCAACAGGTTCTGGTTTCAAGGACCTTGCATTTTACAACTTATCAGGAGAGTACTATTTGCCATCAGAAGGAAATAAAATTTCAGGTAAGAAAGACATCCAAGCAGAAATGCACAATCGGATAACTAGAAACCCAGGACTGAATGAAAAGGGTACACTCAAGGGTAGTGGATCATAAGCAGAAAAATCAGTAGCTCTGAAAAGCCTGAAATTCGATGAATTACTTGGAATGTTCAGGGGATTATTTAATAGCCAAAAAGAGATATCTGATGAAATTATATTGGAGATAAAGTCAAAGGTTTCTTCTTATTTGCAAATGAATAAATAAGAATATAGCAAGATAACTAATTTAAACTAGTATCAGGAACAGTGCATGAAATGGCAGGACACAGAGAAACAAATTGGGCATATTAAGCATACAAGGCGTATCACAAACTTTTAAGATTTGGCAGTGAATCTGGTGAAGACAACGCAGAAACCTCCTCCAAAGGGAAGACAGCAATGCAAATAGTGAGGCCATAGTAGTCAGTGGCTTATTGTAAGAATATGGAAAATAAAGGACATGGGAGATGGCTCTTCCCTCTTCTTTCTCCTTTCATCCATATAAGTAAGTTAATTAACTTAGTAAAAGTCTCTTTTACACCGCAGTCTTCATTTAACAGCTGTAACCATCACTGCATTGCAAACTATTGCCCTGAATTTGTGTTTGCAACACTACAGAGCAGCTAAGCAACAATAAGAATCTCTAATCTTTTCCTAGCTGTCATAAGGTTGGGGGGAGGGGAGGAGAGGGGATGAGATTAATTTTTGATAGCAACTAAGAACATTTGCCTACATCATAAAAAAAAAACCACACACACAGAAGCTAACAGATCACAACTACTTTTTCAAAAGGTCACTTGTGTCAGAGTCTTAGCTCAAGAGCAGATTTTTTTCTTCTTCTACCTATTGGCAAAGTTGAATTTCCTGTCTTTTAGTGAGGTCATATTTAATTTCGTTTTTCTAAAAAGTTCTGCAGAGCTAAGGGGATTTCCAGTAGAGTGCAGAAGCCAAAAGAAGTAGTTAACAATGAGCAAGCTCTGTATTTGAAAATGGGAATGTAGAGAGTAAACTTTTCATCAGTGTTAAGGCAGCAAATAGGATAACACTGGAGTAGGATATAAAGGAATGGACATCCTTAAAGGCGGGGAAAACACTAGGCCCTGCTTTCTTTTCACGGGAACCAATTAAAAATATCATTCTAATAAAAGGACAAACATTTAATACTTTGGTTTTTCTGTTCCTCTTCTCCTCCTCCTCATCGGTGTTGTCTGAATAGTAATGCTTCCTCTTTTTATCAGAGTGCCTGTGGCTGGTTCTGGCTTCCTCCTCTTCATTCTCCAGCACAAGATCATATTTGGAGCTACGGATGTCTGTTAAGGAAAGTGGGACCAATAGCGATGCCAGAAGGCAACGGGAGCCAGGAGGGAGAGAGAATCCATAAATGCAGACACTGCATTTGAGCCAGTTGACCAGTGAAGTGCAAGGAAACAATTTGGCAGCCTCCCTCAGATGTAAATGAATCGACTAGCAAATCATCCCTTTCGGTATTTCTTTGCAATGATTTTGCCAGGCTTTGAAACACACAATTCTGAATGGAAAATTTTTTTTAATCATCCAGTTCTTACAGGTGGCCATCCGAATCCCAGATTTTCTATTTTGTAACTGTTCTGAGACATAACTAGGTAGTAGCTGAAAGATGTCTGCATGGTAAACGGATGGCAGCCCTCCACTTCACAGCTTTACTAGTCAATTTTCCTGTATGACTCAGCCGGAATGCAAAGCAACACTGCCTATATAAGCAACATTAGGTCTTTGAAAGAGGGAACTGAGACCGACACTTAATACACGATCTCCCAAATTCACAAGAAAGTGAAATTTAGGAGGATCTATAGCAAATACATTCACCATATGGAAACATTTTTTTACAACTGCTAAAACACTTTGATTTTGGCCCCAGTTAGACACTGCTTATTTCCTTCATAATAAAATTATCATAAAGCCTAAACAGGCCTTTAGTTGAGGTTTCTCAGAAACACTTAAAAGAAAAAGTACTTGCCAGTGGACTCTCAATTTCCTAAATCCAACTTGGCTCTTCACTAAATATTACACGTATGAAAGTTATATAACAAGAGTGTTTACATAATAGCCCCAAGAAAATAAGTTTTGAAATTAGATGTGGGAGTGCAAATCTATCCATTAATATAATATTCAACATCAGATCTGTTTAGCAATCTCTACAAATACTTTAATATTGGCGTATAAAGTAGAATAATATACATAACATTCCATATTCTATCTGTTCTGAATAGTTTCATATACATATTGAATGTTATATATGTTATTGTTCTACTTATCTTTCTACTTATCTGAAGACCAGAATGGTGTAGTAGTTAAGGTGCTGGACCAGGAGGGAGGAGAAGACTTGAGTTCTAGTCCTTCCTTAGGCATGGAAGACAATTGAGTAATTTTGGACCAGCCACACCCTCTCAACTCTGGACTGGGAAGTCAAGAAATTCTTCTATCAACTCACAATAGACTAACATGACACTACTTTTAAAACAACTATGATACATCATGCAATAATTTAACTGTTCAGGATACTCTTGCTTGGGTTTTGCTTTCTCTTTCAGACTTAATTTAGAAGTTTTGTTGTGATCTTTTTCATATTCTTTGAAATCATCCTTGGTGTATTTCCCACCTGTTTATATAAAGGGACATAAGCTGACATTAATTTTGAATACAAGATTATATGGAAATAGCTGTTAATTATTGCTGTGCAAAATAAATCTTTTTAGGGAGATCCTAATGAAATGGGCTCCAAACAGAAATATTTCAGAAACAGTTAAGGCCTCCGAGATGCACCTGTCACGAGATCCCATGCAGAAATCTAAACAAATAATTTGTGCTGCTTTGTGCTAACTGTTTTGATAAGCAGAGTAGAAATAGTCTGGTTCACAAAGGAAAGCCTTCCCAAGCAATGCTTTTCAGCAAAAAATGATGCCAATTCTAATACTGGGCACATACAACTTTTGATCAGATTCAAATAGTTTGAGCTACTCCATTTCAGTCTATTAACTACAGCATTAATGCTCTTAATACTGATAAAGCCAACTTCATAGTCAAAACCTCACCATTCCCACATGCATTTATTTATTGAGCAAACTTAGCATTTTCTACTTAGTATCTTTCTATAATTACAAGATTGAAAAGTAGAATATACACCTTTATAAATGGTTAATTGAAAAGGGATCATATTTGAAGATATTTCATGGTCAACAAATCTATATCTGACAAATACCTTCTGTGTCCCTCCCAAAACAGATTTGATATTCTCTATAACATAAGGAACTTGCAATGGGAGGAATTAATAGAAATAATTTATACATCTTGTTACCTTTTCCTTTCCATTTCACCTTTGCAACAGATTGGCTAAAATCAACATGTATTCGCCTGTCGTCTATTAAGACATTGTCCATCTTAAAGTAAGCTTTCTCACAATCTTCTTCCTGATATATGTTTCAAAAGAAGTGTAATTAAAGTTAAAACTGTTATGGCTTATGTTGCTGGAACCGTGACTCTGTGAATGATGGGAACTGGGACACTGGGTCTGACAACACTTGGATACCGGGAGGGGGTATTATAGGAAGAGGTTGAGTGGGACATTAGGGATGAGAATGGCGTGAACGGAACGCATGGACTCAATGCAAGGTTTGAACATAAGTACTAACTGGATCGGGGCGTGGACTCAATGCAAGGTTTGAACATAAGTACTAGCTGGATCGGGGTGTGGACTCAATGTAAGGTTTGAACATAAGTACTAACTGGATCGGGGCGTAGGTAGGGTGGAGGACTATCACAAGGCAGGTATGGGGAGGGGGACAGGTGGATTCCAGATGACCAATTAACTGTCAATTAGGGTGTGTACTCTGGGTGTGGTGGAGGAATGTATTTAGGGCAATGAATGGAGCTTCGTTCCAGTGCTAACTTAGTTTCAACATAGTGAATAAAGCTTGTTGAATACTGCAACGTTCCTGTTTCCTGGCTTTCGCGAAGCGCGGTTAGGACGTTCTGTTAATTGCTTCTTCAGGATACCAGTCTGTAGCTATGTTCACATGACAGGCTGAGCCACAAACTAGCCTACATTTTAAATTGGCATGTTATGTGAACTTGTCCATGGGGTTAATTAGTTGTTAATGAGAAGTTGCCCATACTCTCTGGCATATTCTCCCCACAGATGAGAGGTGGGGCCTCAGTCTCCTAGCTTTCTGAAAATATCTATATCTAGCTGGGAGCATTCAGTTGTGGGGCTGGTTAGTGTACTGAAGCCCTTCCTCCTGCCTTTTAAAATCAAATTTTAACTATCCTTGCCTTATTTTAAATTTTTATATTCATTTTTTTATGTTTTCAACATTTTATCTGTACACTGCTCAGAGACCCTCTGTGAGGGAAATAGGCAGTTTCTAAATAAATAAACAGAGTGAATAATGGTTAGGTCAGTGGTGGCGAACCTATGGCATGGGTGCCAGAGGCGGCACGCAGAGCCCTCTCTCTGGGCACGCGCACCGTCGCCCCAGTCCTAGGCCTTCCGCTGGGTTTTATAAAACCTTTTCGCTTTAGGCCTCCACCGCCGTGTGCAAAAAAAAAAAAAAAAGGTTCAATCAGTCAATTTCAACTTCTCACGGGAAAAAAAAAAGATCTTGCAAAGTTGGAATTCATTGACTGAACTTTTTAGTCCCACCCAGTCTGCCGTTACCACCACAGCCACGCCCACCCAATGGGCCACACCCACCCAATGGGCCACACCAACCCAGCACTCGACGATACATAAGTGGGTTTTGGGTTGCAGTTTGGGCACTCGGTCTCTAAAAGGTTCGCCATCACTGGGTTAGGTTAACCATGGGTAGCCAGGTAGTGCAAATAAAACCAGCCTATAAACCAAAGGATCCCAAAACATCCCAAACACATTCATGCATTGATTTTCAGGGGTCATTTTATTTTTGTACATAATGGTAAACAGGAGGGAATCCTCCCTCTTAATCATGTATTATGTATATTTCAGAAACTGTGAAAAGCCCCATTTTTTCTACTAATTACTAAGAGTTTTTAAGGGGTGTTTGGCAGCATCATGTTCTTAGTCCTTACCACTTAACCATGTTACCTATTGTACCTTATTGCATTTCATTTAAAAAGGATGACATGAAAGGGTGATGAATAATAATTTTTAAAAGAACAAAGTGGTTTCCAGATGTAAATGATCAAATCTAGGAAGTCCATCAAAGATAGGGAAAGGGTATGCAGACTAAAAACAGGAATTTCTTCTCCTAATGCATGGAACTGAGATATTTCAAATGCTAACTGCTCTTTAGTAAAATTGTACATAAATCATTCAGTTTGGTTTATATTCTTATACTGTATATAGTTAAACGGTATATACATATGGCCACACACCTTTTCAAACTCAATGAAGGCATAGCAGAGAGATTCACCAGTTTTCCAATCTCGAATCACTTCACAACTGAAAAATCAACACATTTTGTTCAGGAAACCATACAGATAGCAGTTGTATGTCACGCGATGTTAAAGTTTTTTTTAAATAAGGCATGGAAATCATCCCATAGCTTTCACAGCACTCAGTCTGTGGAGGTCCTCGTAAGCCACTATGGCAGTGGTGGTGAACCTATGGCACGCGTGCCAGAGGCGGCACTCGGAGCCCTCTCTGTGGGCACACGGGTCATTGCCTCAGCCTTGTCTCCCCCCATGACCCCCTCCTCACCAGCAGCCCCCCAGGAGGAGAGTCACCCCTGAGTGTGGCCCACGCGGAGCAGCGCAGCCAAGGACATGGCAGCCAGGCAGCGTAGACAAGACTCTGTCCTCATGCCTCATCACACAGTTGATGCTGTGGGGCGTGGGCAGAGGGCCTGGCCACCATGGTGCTGCTGGGCTGCCTGGGCAATCTGCGGCGGGCCCTGGAGGCGGTGAGTGGCCCTGCAGGCAGGCAGGGTGGGACAGAGAGGGCGGGGCAGGGATGGTGCGGGGGCGGGGCCAGTTTTTGGGCACTCGGTCTCTAAAAGGTTCGCCATCACTGCACTGGTATCAGAAGTTACAGTATGGATGATAAGAATGTGTGAGTTTAGTAGAACTACAGACAGAAGTCTTGCTTTGCACTTTCTATCCTATACTGCTACCTTTAGACCCAGAGATTAGTTTCAGGGTTGGGGCAAGTTCTAATTTAGTGAATGAGGTCAATAAGGATCACTGGGTTCAGCTTCAACATACTATACAATAAGCTTTAAAAGTATATTTAGGTTAGCCATCACACCGAATTAGACAACTGCACTTTCTAACATCATTGATTTAGGATACAAAAAAGCAACTTAAAAAAATCTAAAGACAATAGACATACATATATTATAATAAATCAGAAAGAAAAAGTGCTGGAAGAGTCTACAGTAATTATTTTTCTAATACTTAATAAATGGCATTGTAACAGTTGGTTCTCAGACTAAAAATTCAAGCAATCATATTTGATAATTCACAGATCTTCCTTTAGCAGAGGCCTGTCCCCTCCCCGGTGCATAATACTGTGAGTGAAAGACTCAAAAACCTTACCCTAAGACACACCTAAGCATACTGACTTTAAATTGAAAACAGTTCACCTGCTGAACTTCCCCTATCACTATTGTTTTCATCTTTTTAAAGTCTGCTAAAGAGAACTTTGTAAAAAAAACTTTGTTTTTTCCCGCTTAGGAAAAAACACTTTCAGGTTAGGCAATCACCAAAGGTCTGAAAAGTATTTCTATGAATACAAGGTAATATCTATATTAAGTCTATTGCTAGGCCACTGTGACTTAAAAAAATGTTCCTTGTGCATTTTTCACTAGCTGGGACTACATTTTGCACTTTTTATAAAGGCCTGCTAATGTATCTTTGCAAATGTTCAACACTTACCTTTTTATCGAACCAAATCGGGAAAATATGATTTCAAGGTCTTCATCAGTTGTCACAGGATTAAGTTTGCAGACAAAAAGAACATTTTCAGGTGGCTTGATATCTGCATCAGGTAAGTCTCCAACCTAGGGAACAATGCAAGAGAGATTACTTTATTTTACATTGCTTTATTCCAACACTCCTACAATTTGCACTAATGGACACACATATCAAAATGACTCCATTTTAAGATGTGAGAATGTGTACAATGTGAATATGCTATTCAAGATTATTCTGAAGCCTTAAGAATGGAAAAGGCAGATCTTTCTGTTCGATGACCTCTCTGATGAGATGCTTAAAAGATGATAGTTTTCTTAAAAACAGTATGCTTCTGAGCTATAACTGAAATAGCAACTTGTGAAGAAGGCAAGGTCCATCCATCTCTTTTTTTTTCATGCTTGTGACTTCAGAGATTCTACAAAGGTTAAGGACTGATTTATAAGCAATAATTGTGGTGTCAAGTTGTAACCTGGCTTACTAATAATGCATCATATGTTTACTTTCATGGACCATCACAGAAGAAAAAACATTACAGAGATTTATCAATTTAAATGCTTTTTAATACGCCCGATTCATATATTTCATTAAAAAAGCCCAAGATTACAATAGATGATATTAAACAAACCTTATTCATGTCTTGCAATGAGTAGGGATTACTAAAGTTTTAATGGTAAAATATTAAAATATAAATTATTCTTATATGCCGGGTGCCGTTACATAAAATCTGGTTCCACATAATTGTCATACTAGAGCAGGGGTTCTCAACCTTGGCAACTTTAAGACTTGTGGACTTCAACTCCCAGAATTCCTTTGCTGGCTGAGGAATTCTGGGAGTTGAAGTCCACAAGTCTTAAAGTTGCCAAGGTTGAGAACCCCTGTACTAGAGGCAAAGATGGAGGGAGGAAATAGTGGCCAAGGCCTGGGACTTGCCACCAGTGCTTCCCTCCATTTGGAAAAATAGTAGTTAGAATTTAATTTATAACTTATGTCCACCTAGGAGGAAACTACAGGTAGTCCTCGATTTACAACAGTTCATTTAGTAACCGTGCAAAGTTACAACAGCACTGAAAAAAATGACTTACAACCATTTTTCATACATGACCGTTGCAGCATCCTCATTGTCACATGATTTATGTTTGAATGCTTAACAACTGTTCAAATTTATGACAGCTGCAGGGTTGCGAGGTCATGTGATCCCTTTTCGCGACCTCCTGACAAGCGAAATCAACGGGCAAGCCAGATTCACTTAACAGCTGTTTTACTAATTTAACAATTGCAGTGGTTTGCTTAACAAATGTGGCAAGGGAAGCCGTACAATGGGATAAAACTCACGTAACAAATTTCTCACTTAGCAACATACATTCTGGGCTCAATTGTGGCCGTAAGTCGAGGACTGCCTATAGTTGCTGACCACAGGTCAGATCCATCTGTACCACGTTTTGTAAATGTTTACCTGAATTTAGTACAATAGTTTTAAAACTCAAACATAAGCACAGATGCACATTTAATCTGCATTTCGATTTCTTTAACATAAGAGTGTTTCTGCATATCGATTGCTTTAGCCAAGTTTATTATATAGTATTTAAAATACTTTAGATTTCACTATGAGACCAGTTTTACATTTTAAGAGGCAAAAATTGCCAAAAAACACAGAGCATACCAGACTTAATGTGTCAATCGTTCAGTATGTGATACCATTTCTATTTAAATAAAGCTAAGCATCTGCTAAGCGTCTGCATATCTACAATTTAACAATAAGATCAGATATACTGTATTTACCATTTCCAAGAGAATAGCCTGTGTTTTTGCTTCTTTCTCTGCCAGGATTTCTTCCACTTCATCCATAGTCCTTCCTTTGAAGTCATCGATTTCTTCATCAGCACCTATTCTCCCACTCTGTCTTATTTAAAAACAAAGAGATAGATATTTAATATGACTTAGAATGAATACTTCATCTTTTTTATAACACTTTGCAGCAGCTGCCTGAAACCTCACCACATTTATCCTGCACTGACTCTCCCATACCTTGCAGCGGCCACTTACCTGCCCACCGGCATCCTTGTGAGCCACCTGGGACTTGCAACTTTCTGCCAGCTTCTCCACTAACTTGCTTGTGGAAGCCAACAGGAAATTGCAACGAGGTCCTTGCCTAATAACCCACGATCTTGTTTAATCACAGCAATGGGAAGTGCTGGGATTGCTGTCACTAAATGATGCAGTCATGTGATATCACACATTACAATTGCGTTACACAGCAATGGATATTCCAGATCCTATTACAGTGGTGGAGAACCTATGGCACGGGTGCCAGAGGCGGCACTCAGAGCCCTCTCTGTGGGCACGTGTGCCGTCACCCCAGTCCTAGGCCTTCAGCTGGGTTTTATAAAACCTTTTCTCTTTAGGCCTCTGCTGCCATGTGCAAAAAAAAAAAAGGTTCAATCAGTCAATTTCAACTTCTCACGGGAAAAAAAAAAGATCTTGCAAAGTTGAAATTCATTGACTGAACTTTTTAGTCCCACCCAGTCTGCCGTTACCACCGCAGCCACGGCCACCCAATGGGCCACACCCAGCCAATGGGCCACACCCAGCCAATGGGCCACACCCACCCGGCACCCGATGAGGCATAAGTGGGTTTTGGATTGCAGTTTGGGCACTCGGTCTCTAAAAGGTTTGACATCACTGTCCTATTACCACTGTTAACCAAAGGCTACCTGTATTGAGGTTATACTTCTATAGAAGGCAGTTACAGATTTCCATTCATTTTTCATTCTTCCCCTTTCCTTATCACTTTTTTCGTTGTCACCTTATCATCAGGTGATAATTTTGTTCATTGCCCAGAGTAACTTGGTGAGATGAGCAGCTAAATAAATTATAAAAAAATGAAATTAATGTGCACCCCTCTGTAATTGCTATATACCTTTTTGGAAGTGTAATTATGTACATCGCTGCTAATGATACTTTTGTAATGTGGCACGGTTAGCACACCTTCTGTTTTCCCACAGAAAACACAGCTAGAGATCAGCAGTTAGTAAAGACATAGATGTGCCTTCTCAGCAGGCACGTGCTTGAATTATACTTCTAACGTTGTTCATTATTTTGCAAGAATAATGGTGTGCACTCAAATATTGCAAAAAAAACAGTATATACTTAGAAAAGAATACCTGCAACTGTTGCCATTGATATTTTTCCTATCTTGAAGCTGAAACTAAAATTCTATTGAAACTGAAGAATCTGTATTATTGCCAATGAAAAGGACACAGTTGCTTTTATTGAGCAATATGTCCCCTAATTAAAGTCTTTTTTTTCCCCAAGTCAAACATGACCCTGGGCCACTGTGAGAACATAACCACAAAGTTCTGTACATCTGCAAAATCAGCAGGTACACTAGGGGAATATAAACATATTTCTTGATTAACTCCACACTCACATCCAATTGTTCTTTTGTAGGTTCTGGTGAACGATCTGGTATTGCCAAACCAGGGGGGTCATCAAATGGATCATCTAAGATCACTGTATGGTTTATCCTAAATAGAAAACATATTCAGTTAAAGATTAAGTTCAAGGTTTCATTTCACAATAATTTTGAATATTAATTCACTGTTGCATCAGAAAACACCTACACAACAAAACTTATTTATTTGAAAACAAAATCTATAAGTTAAACTTTATTCCAAATTTTAACACTGACAGAGGGTGCATATGTTACTATAAAAGTCAGACACTATAAAATTACACACTTAACTGAAAGCTTATCTGGCTTATGGTGAAAGGAAATTCAACAATTGCCTTCCAATAACAATTGCCTTCCAATTATATGAAATTTAGTTCATAAAATTGTTCTCATCTACTACCAAATATAGTTAAGGACTAATCTCATACATGAATGACAGTAGTAGGTTTAGGAGAGTTTGAAGAAACTCTTTTACCTCAATACACATAATTCATTTATGGAATTCACTTCCACAGCAAATGGGGACAACACTTGCTTAAAGAGTTTTGAAGTCATAGCAAATAGATCTATCAAAAGTGGTAATAGCATAACAATAGGGAAAACTATAGCCGCTTTTGATTTGGGTTTTGGATACCTTTGATAGACACAACTTGATGGCTTTTGTTTAATCCAGCAGAATTTTGCTTACACTCTGCACTTTTATCAATTGTAGAAGATTTTGTTCATACCTGATGTCTTGATATGGGATGAAATCCTTATCGACAAAGGACTCATTAATTTTCATCAATACATCCATGCCTTCTGTTATTTCACCAAACACTGTATGCACACCATTCAGATAATCTAAGTTTTCTCCTGTAGTAATAAGAAACTAAAAAAAAAAAAACCAAGAAAAATAATGAATTGGAATTGACAAACTAATGAAAATCTTCATCTACTCATTTCAGTCTGTTGATACATTAGCTGATTTTGGATTCATTCACCAGAAAAATCTTCTGATGTCACAAGCTTTCTGTGAATTTTAGACACGGAAGATGGCGTCATATTGTGATGATTTCAGTCTTTCCTGGAGATTATTTCTCAAGCAATACAAGAGTCGATTGTTTGTTCTCTACAGGAATTTTTATTACGGCTCTTCCAGATTCAGTGCTATGCTCAGGCTATTTAACTTGTCATACCCAACCACGTTGAGATCTAGTTCCACTAAGGTTTTTAGCGAACCCAGAAAACAATGTAATCTTAGAACAAATCTACCATTGATGTAGTTGATATGGCTGAATAAACTGAAGTTCAGTTTGGACGATATCAAAAGACTTCACCCAACAGTGCGAATTCACCCAATAGTGGAATAGTTGAGTAGTGGTCTGTCTGCCAGAAGAACAAATTATTTCTCAGTTCTTCTTCCATACTGTTTAAATTTGCTTCAAAAAGTTGGAGACACCACCAGAGCAAATCAAGCAGAAGAAGAGTGGAAATAAAGTCATGAAAAATCTTGTTATGTGAATAGAATTCTACCTGAATCATGCTGGCTATGATTCAAATTTCTTGCTTTAAGTGAGATCAATTATGCCTCCTCTATCAGTCAAAATTGTTTGTACACATAATTCCATGTTTATGAATAGTCTGGTTTGGTAATCGGCCACTTAAAATATGAAAGCATCTGATATGCTAATGCTGCAGAAAAAACATATTTTTCCAATGATTTTTTTTCCATTTTCGTTTTTTTTAATATAATGTCATATCTGTGCTTTCAACTTCCATATGTCCTAATATGTTGACATGACTTTTCCAGATCTGTGAACATACCTGAGATCCATGCTGATCACTCCCATTGTTTACCATTGACACAGTTCCCTTTTTCTTGTGTTTAATTCTTGGCACTTTCTCTGCTTCAAAAAATCTAGCTTGATCACCATACAATTTGCTGAAACATGTACAAACAAATTGTCAATCAGAATAAATTGCACAACTTTTAAAAACTAGCCATATAAGAGAAAAAAAACTGCAGTACAGTGCATGGAGAAGTACAAATTGACAGTTCCATTCATTTTTAACAATTTCAGAATCAGTTATATAACTGAGACTATATATTTGTTTCTTTATTTTTCTTATCACCCCAATCATAAGACTCTTGGTAGTACACAAAAAACTTTAATAATCTTCATAGTAATATATTGCATTAACCTAAAACCAGAATAAGACACCATATGTCTTGCCACACACATACAAAAAACCCTCATCTTAAGTTGCTTCTGAAATGTCTACTATGTTGGAGCAAATATAATTTCCAGGGAAAGATTCTTCCATAACATAGTGACTACTATATAACTGAGGCAATTCCTTCTCCCTGACTTAGCAATCGCAATAGCACTTAGATTTATATACCACTTCAGTATTTACAGAGTCAGCATATTGCCCCTAACCATATGGGTCTTCACTTTACCAGAAGGATGGAAGGCTGAGTCAACCTTGAACTGTTTCAGCATCGAACTGCTGGCAGTGAAAAGTGAGTTAGCTTGCAACACTGCATTCTAACCACTGCACCATTACGGTTCTTCAAGGAAACGAAGAATCACTAAATTATTTTCCCTCAGATGGTTCATATCAGATGCTCATATCAAGCCATTCTAAGTAAAAGCTGCCTTGGTACCAAGCCATTTAAGGTTTTTTAGGTTAAAACCAACACTTTAATTTTTCCCTGCATCATATATTGACCAAAGTGATTGATAAACTGCACGAAGACTTTCACTATCAAAGTTCATGATTTATTCTTCTTGTTCCAAGAAGATTACCAATAGGTAATCTAAACGAATGCCTACGCAAGAAGTAATAAATTCTGCTATATTCAAAAGGTTTTATTGACTATGCAAATCAAAATTAAACAATGTTTACCAAAATATGGATTCACCTCCACGACCAGTCCCCAGGGGGTCTCCAGTTTGTATGATAAAATCTCTCTGAAACAATGTGGAACACAAATAACTTATTATTTAACATCATTTAAAAATCCTCCTCATGTTATTAAGAATCTTCTCTGTGTGCCAATAATTACATAAGGCAGACTATGCTATTATTTCTGTTTTACAACTGAAGAAAGGAATTTAAACATACACATGCATGCATGATTAGGAAGAGGACATTTAGCATATGTATTTCTTAGATTAAACTTGTATATCTACTATGTAAGACTCACAATTAAATTATTGTCTTATATATGAAGGAAAAGCAAAGGAAAAAAATCAGATATGCTTACTTGTATATTATGTATAAGGCAGTAATTGTAGTATTTGGTCTTGCAAAGCTTCAGGAAATTTAGACAAGCTAAAAGAAATAAAGACAAGAAAACTGAAACAGGCTACAACCTTTGCCGAAAAGAAACAAGCTATTCTTTCATACAAATTCAATAAAAAATGCCCAGCAACAATCCCCAGCAAGTTGCATGAAACAAATGGCATGCCATGAATAAATGTTCAGATTAAAATGACAGAGAAATATTACCTATTTTTATCAAATCTTACAGAAAAAGATTATTGGAAAATGCAGGACTTATTTTCAACTAAGCAGTCCATTTTTTTCTATATATGGACCTTAGACCAGCAGTGCATGTTATAAACTTTAAAGAACATCTATGTTAATGTGCAGAGTGCCTTCTGTTCATATTAAGCAATCACAGCATGTTCTAATACAAGTGTGTCCAATCTTTTGGTTTGCCTCAGTTGCACTGAGTGAAGAGGAATTGCCTTGGGCCACATATAAAATATACAATTAATGTATACAAATCACATAATGTTAAAAAATTATGATGGGTGGCACATTACTAGCTGTCTCAGGCTACATGCTGAACACACTTGTTCTAATTTTACCTTATAGTGTCATCAATCCATACAGTGCTTTATACAGTGAGAAAAAGCAGGCTTCTGTCCTAATTCCCAAAATTCAGTACAATAAGAGGTACAAAGGAAGGTTAAAAAAAGGCAATGCAGGGACAAACAGGACAAAATATATAGTAATTCAGTTAGACAAGGACAGAATGTGCAAGAGTGGATTAACCACTGATACAACATTTGGAGACATGTAAGCTTGTTAGAAAGCATGAAGAGGCAATGCATTATCCTTTTTATACAGGTTTTATTTCTATGCTTTAATAACATCCTAATACAGAAGAAGTTTAAATCTGAAGCTTTTCTTGCTTTTTATGGGGTAAGGAAGGATTTTGTGGTGTAATCTATGGGAATCAAGCTGCTACAAAAGTCAAATAGGGGTTTCAGTGGAAATTGGGCAGAGAAAGTTATATTTTATACTTCAGAAAAGAAACTGAGAATCTCATTAGTCAAGTTCATAAAGCCAAGTTGGAAAACGAGAATTAGCTGTGTTTTAATGTGAAATCACAGTAAAACAAACAGAGGAAAAATTCCATGTACTCAATGTGTGCAGTTGTTTTTTCCCCCAACCAATGCTTTTTATTAAATTCCAGATAAAATGCAAGTCCAGAGTACTGATGCTGCCAAAACTGGGATGCCATTTATAATCCTTAAAGTAAATATTGTATAAAGTTATTAAAGAAATGGAGCCACTCTAAGTTTTTTTTTTAAATATAAAAGAACTTTTCCACAATCAGTCCAAGTTCTCCCTGGAAAAACAATAGGAGATTGATCCCATGTGAAAAACTAGTATTAATTTCAATATACGTGAAGTATTAATACCACTCTTTAATGCCTTGGTAAGGCCACACTTGGAATACTGCATCCAGTTTTGGTCACCACAATGTAAAAAAGATGTTGAGACTCTAGAAAGAGTACAGAGAAGAGCAACAAAGATGATTAGGGGACTGGAGGCTAAAACATATAAGGAACGGTTGCGAGAATTGGGTATGTCTAGTTTAACGAAGAGAAGGACAAGGGGGGACATGATAGCAGTATTCCAATATCTCAGGGGCTGCCATAAAGAAGAGGGAATTAAGCTATTTTCCAAAGCACCTGAAGGCAGGACAAGAAGCAACGGGTGGAAACTAATCAAGGAGAGAAGCAACCTAGAACTAAGGAGAAACTTCCTGACAGTGAGAACAATTAATCAGTGGAACAGCTTGCCTCCAGAAGCAGTAAATGCTCCAACACTGGAAGTTTTTAAGAAGAGACTGGACAGCCATTTGTCCGAAATGGTGTAGGGTTTCCTGCCCGAGCAGGGGGTTGGACTAGATGACCTCCAAGGTCCCTTCCAACTTTACTACTACTACTATTATTATTATTATATCTCAATATATCTCCCATCACTTAGCCCCCACCTCCTGAGAGCATCACTATCTCCTAGTCTGCATTTTGGGGAACTGCAGATTCTGAGACATCCCTGAAAAATATAGCTTTTTTTTTTTTTTTTTTTTTTTTGCACATTCCGCAAATGTTGTGCTAGCTTCTCCAAGCGCGGTAAACCCTTCTGGAGAAGTATCGCTAAACCGGAATTTTTCTGCAGTTGTCCAGAGGTTTCTGGCCCGGAATTTGTCCCACGCGGTACCCGCTGCACTGTCACTACCTCTCGGTCTCTCCTCCGTGTATAAATCAATCACTAGATCTCCCAGCGTGGTCTCCAGGAGCACAGCCATGGCGCCTCTCCCAGCCGCCTTTCTGATCTTTCCGCCAATGTTTGCTCCTCCGCGATCCCAGAATGCCTTACGCGACTCCACTTCCTCCCTGGTTTGACAGCTGTAGACAAGCGGCGCTCTGTTCCAAGGCTCGGTTACCGTAGACTTACGATTGTAGAGTCGCCCTTCAAAGTTAGTTTGGGCACTACTGGCGGACTCCCGGAGGTTGGAAGTGAGCGTGATTCAGAGAAGACAGGGGAAGATTTGGCAGCGTTCTCAGGTCCAGTTGTGCGGAGACAACCGGCTTTGAACCATCTGGTCTCTAGACAAATCTAACTTTCTAATTTGCTTACCTAGGTACTGTAATTGCTATAGGTACAGGAGGCCCACATATTAAAATTATTTTTTATCCTGCCTTTATTATTTTTATAAATAATTCAAGGTGGCAAATATATCTAATACACCTTCTTTCTTTTATTTTCACCCCAGCCAGCTTTTATGTCTAAGGTAGAACTAGAACTCATAGTCTCCTCCTAGTTTCTAGCCTAGTGCTGTTTGGCAATTTGACCAAACAACATCTCAAGATTTACTTACTTGCTTGAATGCTACCTTGAATTCTACCCACCAATCAGTTGTACTTTTAACAGAAAGACAGGCAAACTTCCTCTGTCTGAAATCTCTGAGAATCAGCTTGTTCTGCAATTCTGAAGAGAGCCGACTTCAAAAATCCCCCTTCTTTTCTTCCAAACAATTGGCTTTCTGTATCAATTAATACAGAATTTTTGTGTGCTTTTTTAAAGCTGCAGATGTTGACTTTTTGCATAGAGATAGATAAATCTGAGAAATTATTTAGAAGAAACATTATGTTTAGATCATATTACAACGTTCTTTCCTCAGAACATGTAGCTTTTTTTCATGTGCAGAGAACCTTAAACAAGCAAACAGGAAAATAAAACATACAGGGTGAAATTATGTATGTCTGGCCTGACCAGCCTTTATAAACCTCTTGATTTAGGGATTATGAAAAGTGGTTCAGAATTAAAGTTCTACTCAAGATACTTTTTCTTCATTGCCTAAGGATCCATATTTAAGAAAATAGCCTACCTTTGAGCATGCTTCACCAAGGATAAACAGATATACTGTCTTTCAAATTCTAGTAGTAGAATGTTGTTCTTTTTTATATATTATTTTCTTCCTCAGGATCAATTCTTTCTTCATAGCCTTTTGGTTATTCTTTTTACTAGCTATGTAAATTGGGAGGTAACTAAAAGTTTGTATAATTCTAGAGATGTTTAAAGAAAAATATGGTTTAAATATTCATTTAACATTTGATATATCATAGTATTATCTCTCTATAAAACCAACAAATAAAAATCCAGCGTTTGAGTAGTAGTGGCACAGCAGCAATTCTCACCAAAAGCAGAAAGGCTTAGTGTGTTATACAAAGCCAACCAACCATGGTTTATTCAATAAGCCATGATTGAAGCGTAACTTTCTCTTATATATATCATACATTAAAGTAATTCCATATCCTCTCTTTTGGAGAGTCTAGAACAGCGGTTCCCAAGCTTTTCTATACCCTAGAATGCTTCTGATATATTCTTGCACCCCTTACAAAAGTAATAAACTTATTTAAACAAATTTTGAATGATGTGAACATAAAAAATAATTTTGAAACTTTTAAACCCAAGTTTTCGCACCCCCTGGAATATCGTCTTGCACCCCCGGGAGGTGTGAGCATCCCCGAGTGGGAACCCCTGGTCTAGAAGCTTCCATATATTGAGTCAGACCAATCATCCATTTACTCAGTAGTGACTCAGTGACTTCAAGGATTAAAGATTTTCTTTTCATAGCCCACAAGCATCATTTCAGATGCTTGGAATTGAACATGAGACTCTTTGAAATCAGCCCTAGGAAATATTCTCCCAATCAGTGATTACTGAATGAAAGGCTAGTTGTAGATGTGAAAGGCAGTTCATATCTCAAAGGGATGCAATTCAGCTCTTTCCCCATCTCTCATGTTTTCTTTTTATCATTCTTTCCTCTTGAACTGCCAGGTAAACAGAAGGTTTCTGTCCATCATGACAGATTTAGTTACCTCTGAGGGAGAGATACGGATGCTCTGCCAGTTTATTTGCAAATTGCTGCTATGTGCAGTGGACCAGCCCTCCTTGTGGGAGTGCCAGTCATCTTGCAGTGGCCAATCTGATAAAAAAAAAAAACAACCTCTAAACAAAACCACATGTGTACTTTATATAATATAATTGAGGCTGGCCTCACTACACAAAAAAGGAAGGTTAAACTTTTTATGAGCCCCTGTACAGTATTTTGAACCAAACATACAAAACAAAATTCTATGTGAATGTTTGGGGACAGGAGAGAGCATGCTAATAATTACTTTATTTATTTATGAGACTTATATACCGCTTTAAGTGCAAGCACTCTCTAAGCGGTGTACACCAGTAAGCAATGTATATATATATATATTTACATTGCCCCCAACAATCTGGGTCCTCATTTTACCTACCCCGGAAGGATGGAAGGCTGAGTCAACCTTAAGCCGGTGAGATTTGAACCGCTGACCTGCTGAACACAGTCAACTAAAGTGGCCTGCAGTACAAGATCTTGAGTGTCAAGAAATTTTTATGGGGCCAAGTGATTAAAGAAAAAGAATATAAAAAAAGGGGGGAGAAACGAATCTGATGAGGCTCAGTTGCAGTTTGGGAGCAAACCGTGCCTGGTGCTGAATTCTTGGGAAAGTTATAAAAATATAGCATAGTACTATTTTGCAAACTATGGATTGGCCTTAATATGAATTTTGTTTATTTATTTTAATCACCACCAAGTTTTTCTTTAATCCCTCTGATAAAGCACTAAAGAGTAGTTTCAGAAGCTGCCCGGGAGCTGTCACTGGTTCATCGCGTCCAACTAAATGAAAGGGGTCTTATTGTGATGCGCTCTGCCAATCCTTGTTTTAAGGGCAGAAAGCTTTTGCATTTGGTCGGAGCGGGGCCGGGGTGGGGAGGACGCTCGCCCTCCCGCCTGGATTTCCTTGTCTTCAACTCTTCAGAGGCGTCCACCGAAGGGAAATCACTGCTACGCCGCCTTTTCCGTGCCCGGACCCTGAAACACCTCGTCCCCGCTCGACATCTCGGCTTGTATTGCATCCTTCCCGGCAGTTTCCTCCTCGTCCCCGCCGGACTCCTCCCAGCTTCTGCTCGGCTCGTCGCCGCCTCTTGCTTTGTTGATGTTTCACTTAGTTTTAATGCGCAGTTCCCAAGATGGAGGCAGCGCTGGGGCCACGCGAGTTGCTTGGGCTGGTGGCAGGGCTCCTTCTGCTGCCTCCAAGCCTTTTCGCCCCGGATCCGACAGCCGCCTTCTCCCGGGTGGTGAGCCAGGTAGGCAAGGGAAAGTTTCCTTGAGGGCCTCTGCTCAGGTCTGGCAGGGTTGGCACCGGAGCCCCGAAAATGTGTTTGTGTATGTGTGTGTTGTAGGGCAAGGGGAGAAGAGAAAAGGTCAGGTCTCCCTTCAGAGCCATAGGTGGGGCAGCTGAAGGTGTGATTCGACACCTCGCGTGTGTGAGCATCTGGTCATGGTGGTTTAGAAGAGAGATCTACTAAAGTAGGGACACGCAATGTTGCAATGCTGGTGGCTTTTCTGCCAAGTCCATTTGCAAAACAGTTTTGTAGTACCTGCATGCTCTTTAAAGCAAGTGTTGGGATAACATGCTAAGATTTTTGCAGTTTGCATAGGGGGGTTCTTCCTTATCCGACAAATCACTTTTCCGAATGATTGTGAGTGAATGGTTTTACAAAAAAGTGCTATCGAGGCCTTTTGTACCTGTGTGTGTGTGTGTGTGTGTGTGTGTGTGTGTGTGTCTTGAATACAATACCCAGCAGCTTGCCCTTTTAGATATATAACTTGCTCCCATATTAGATTTTAATGTATGTAGTAATGCAATTAGATTTTGGGGATTGAGTACTTTATGTAATAAATGTGCTCTTTATGGAAAGAACAATATGTTCTAAGGAAGTCTGTTTCAGTATTGATGTCCTTGTAAAACATGAATTAAATATTTCAGGTATTGTGGTGCATTTGTTGTCCTGTTGCCTTGGTTATATTTGTCTTAGTTTGAGGTTTAAACATCACAGTAGTGGTTTTAGATATCATTTCCAAATATTTAATGTGGTTAACTGTCATGATAATGTTAATTGATTAAAAAGCCCACAAACTCTATCACACTTGTATAAAACAATTAAATTTGCTTAATTTTACTTCTGGTTTACCATGGGGTACTTTAATAGGAAAGAATTGCCTTTTTGGAGAGCTGTCAAAACAAAGATTACAGGTCTATATTTACTTAGCTGCGCTAGACCTTGATTATCAGCCTTACTTTTCACATCTGTAGGTTGCTTTTCAAAGCCATATGGGAAGTCCTCTGTATTTTACAGTAGGGCAGAAATATGAGTTTGAGGATCATTTTTTTTAAAGCAGAGAACCTCCTTACATCCTTAGTTCTGACCCAGTTTTTTGCCCAGGGTGATTCCCTTCACTACAGAGAAGATGATTATATGCAAGAAAGATGATAATTACATGTAAAAAAGATGATTATGTGCAAGAAATGAAACAGCAGATCATGTTGGCGTTCTTTTGCCTCCCTCCCTCCTTCCCTTCCTTCCTTAACCTTCAACCTCAGAGAATGAAGATGTAGAAGACACTCAGCATAAAAGTAGAGTATACTGAAGGAAGGCAGTGAAAAACTGCTTCCAGACTGTTGCCAGGAAAAGTACATTGATGTGTTTTGAAAGCATCAGGAGTCAAACTCAATACTCCACTTCAGCCAACAAACAAGAAACCTTTGTTCCCAGTCTAAATAAAATATTTGTTCTTTAAAATTTACTATTCATTGGTGTAAATGAAAAGATAGCAACTTTACCCCAGTCTTCAAAAGTGGCAGCATCTGACTGGCAGGCTTGGACCTGGTTAATATTTGTATGGGAAACGTCCAGGAAATACCAGAGCTTTAGGCTAGATTGAGACGATAAAAAAATATGCTAAAGGAAGATAATGAAAAACTCAGACTGTTGCCAAGAAAATGACATGGGTATGTTCTGAAGGCATCAGGAGACAAGCTCGTGCTGAAAGATTCCCTTACTTCCACTTCTTCCAATGTATTTGCTTCTTTTCCTTATTGTTTTACTCAAGTTTATTCTTCTAAGCAGGTAGTTATCAGAAGATTTGAGAAGTGGCAAAAGAATAGTAGGTTAGTCTCTCCCTAAAAAGACTGACAGCGAATTATCTCTTCCCATCTACCATATCTTGTTTGCTTCTAGGCATTGCATTCATTTCCTGCCTGAGTTATTCATTGGTTTTGTAGATCTCTTGTTTCAGATGTGGATGCTTCTGCTGACTAATGACAAATGCAGCTAATTTGCCTTTTCCAAGTGTGAAGGCTCTAAATATCTGATTGATTAGTTTGATCACAAAATTTCCTGATATAATTTCTTTTCAGAAGGAAATTATTTTTAGAACAGAACTTCAACCAGTTGTTAATAGGACAAGCTAAAAATATGGAAAGATAAAAAATATGTGCAGTAAATTGGTTGTTCATGCAATTGTCATGCAAGTCCATTATTGCATAATTCCTGTGTCTTTCCAAATATTTACGCAATATAGACTTTCCCCCTCTCTGATTTGTTTAAGATGACATATGCTTCACAGCTGTCACATCTTCTTTGGTCTGTTGAAATGAGTTGGTCATTTTTTGCATTTGAGTCAGAGAAATCATAGTGTAATCTAATATTCTGAATTATTGTGGAAAGGCCCAGAGAATTTTGAAATGAAAGGTGATTAAATGAACTAAGGAAATACTTCCAAGGAAATACTTCCACCGTATAATACAATATAGATAGTATATATTTGGCAACGCAAGGGATGCTGGGAAGCCACAAGGGAGAAGAGCTTAATACTCATTGTTCCATAACAATAATATGTAAAAAAAGAAGATAATGTGGTATTTACTGATTAAGGCAAGAAACTTTAAGATCCAAATTAATTTCTTTGATGTTTATGTTTTGTCTTGTGTATACGTTTTTGTAATTCTCTGAGAGAAATGTGTTTTGAATTAATAAGATTGCAAGCTGAAATTTTAATAGTGTAAACTACCTATTTAGCAAGTAAGATTGTGTTGCCCTAATATATCCAGCTGCTTTACAAGCATTGGTCAGGTTAGAAATTACTTAGAATGTTTATTTTCCTACCAAATAATCAGAGAAAAATATACATGTACCGATATAAGCTAGAAAATACACATAAAATTGCTCACTTAAATTTGATTTCTAGGAATGGAAAACTATATCGGTGCCAATTATAAAGCAATAGGCACAACCCTTCTTAAAAATAGATACATTGATGTGAGGAATAGTTTGGTCTGGCGGTTAAGACATCAAACTAGTAACCAGGTGACCAGATGTTGTAGTCCCTCCCTGGGCAGAAAGCCAACTGGGTGATCTTGAACAAGTTATTTTCTCTCAGTCCTAGGAGGCAATGTCAAACTACTTTTGAAAAACCTTGTCAAAAAAAGCTGCAGTGACTTGTTTAGGCAGTCTCCAAGAATAAGACTCAGCTGAATGGAAGAAGAAGAAAGGAAAAAAGAATGCCTCATTTTAGGGTTTGGTTCCAGTAGTAAAAACATAGCCTGACTGGAACTCTGCTCTGGATGTTACCCTTGGCAGGATACTATGGCTGATTATCCTTTTTCTTCCCAACTTCTAGCACCTTATTCTGAAGTTTTATCTTCAAAATAATACTTTATTTTCCTTGGACTGACAATTCAGATAGAATGAGTGATCACATGACTAAGCACACACACACACACACACACACACACACACACACACACACACACACACACACACACACACGCTAGTAGGCTCAAGTATTCTACCCTAAAAGGTGATGTTCAAAAGTCTTGTATATAAAATATAGCAGTTTGGTTGGGGATAGTCTGAATCATCGTAATGAAAGGTGAGGAGAAAGCCCAGCTTTACCTTTTCTTATGAATTACTCTGTGCTCAGAATCGTCTCCCAAACTACACTCCATCTTCTGGCTATTGTTTCCCCCCCCACACACACACACTATGGTGGAAAAGGAGTTTAGAGGTTTTTGTTTGCAGAAATGGTTTATATAGAAAAGATGAAACAACCCTTTTTTTAAAAGATTGCTCTGTAAGAGTCTCAGTGTTCAATTGTTGGGGGAGATACTGCCAGTTTGGGTCATAAAAGGGGGAGAGACGAAATGAAGAAAGATGGAGAGATATAGTCTGGGCCACACTGAGCATTGAGATAATAAGTGTTTTTGGAGTCACTGTGACAAGTTGATAGTTGGAGAGAGATGTCACTTTGAGTGTGCTGGAGCATTGGAAATGGGCACTGTCCATTTTCTGGCCCTAGAAGGATGAAGATGTTGGTTACAGGTGACAGGGAGAAGAAATATAAAAAAACCAGAGAGAGGAATGTGTTTTATCCCAAACCCAAGGTAGATGGAGGCAGAGGCAAATGACTTTCTGAAAAAGGACACCTGGAAGAAGCCTCAGACCAGGATAGGTTGGGCAGAAGACCCAGTGGGAGATGCATAATGCAACATTAATGCAGGGTGATGACTATCAAGATCTGAAAAAGCTGGAAGAAACATCTTAAAAATGCACAATAATGTAAAGCAGCTAATTTCTCTCTTTCCTTGAAAAGTTGTGGGAGAGGGAGAAGGGAAAAGAAGGGAGTTGGCAGCTAAATAGTGAAGTGAATGTTTGCTAGCAAATACTTTTGGAAAGCAGAAAGAAAAAATTTAAGATTTTCGAGAAACAGGAGAGAGGAAGAAGCGGGGAAGTTTGGACACAGTGCTGTAAATAGTTCTGTTTTTCCCAATTCCTATAAAATATATTTACACATAGTTAAAAAAATACAAAAAACCCTGTTCCATGGTCTTGGTCTTTTGGAGCAGCTGTTCTACTTAGTCATGCACACATAAAACCATAAAAGTATTACAGTCAGTCATACTATGGCAGCTCCTCCAAAATATAAAACTGTACATTTGTTCCCTTGGTTATCCACGGTATTCTTGGGAGTCTCCCCTGTGCATCAATATTCAAGTGTCAGAATTCTTGCTAGCCTGCTTCTTCAAAGTCCAAGTTCCATAGAGTATCATAGGGGAAACTATTGACTGCATGATTCTGTTTTTTTTAAATTATCCAATATGCATCAGCAATAATTTTTCATGTTTCTTGGCATGTCTAAAGTGAGGTGGAACATTTTGTATCTCCATTTCCATGTAAGATTCTAACCTGTCTTGGATGATGCTAAGTTTTATTTTGCTAGCATGTGAAATTAAAGATATTATAATAGTTTGCACACCTTGTTAAGTTTCTTTTTTGTTGTTGTTGATATATAGACTGACTTCTTCCAATCTGTTCACCATTATGATTTATTGGCATAATTGGTTATAGTTTTTATTGAATCTTTCTCAGTTGCTTGCTATATTTCTGTAGGTATTCCATCAACATCTCTTGCTTTCTGACTTCGTACAGGTAGTCCTTGATTTATAACCACAATTGAATCCAAAATTTCTGTTGCTAAGTGAGACAGTTGTTACATTTTGAAATTTGCACTATTTTATGACCTTTCTTGTCTCAGTTATTAAGTGAATCACTGCAATTGTTGTTAGTGACATGGTTGTTAAGTGAATCTGACTTCCCCATTGACCTTGCTTCTCGGAAGGTCAGCAAAAGTGATCACAATATCCCAGGACAATGCAACCATTATAAATAAGAGTCAGTTGTCAAGGAGCTGAATTTTTATCATGTGTTCTTGGCGATACCGCAATGGTTGTAAGTGTGAAAAATAGTCATAAGTCACTTTTTTCAGTGCCCTTGTAACTTTGAGCAGTCACTAAATGAACTGTTGTAAGTCAAGGACTATCTGTAATGACTTATTAATGACTACCGTGCTAAACTAACATCATCCTCTAATACTAAAGGTTCTTATAAATAGGGTATTCTTTCTAAGATATCTTGGATGTTGACATCTCTATTGTACAGAATTTCAGTAAACTCATTTCTTATTTGTTTGTTCCTATTTGAATCAGTTACTATCTGTCCCCTGGCATACATTAGCCCTTGTAGGAACCTTCTTCTGCAACCCAGAAGACGATTCCTACAATGGAGATCTTTTGGAAGACCTTGTTTTTCTGTTTGTTTTCATATTTGATATCTTTACAGATGACCTTACAATACTGTCTGTGTTTTCTCCAAAATTCTTCATTAAATTCCTTTCTGAGATCTTTGTCTTTCTTTGCTTTTGCTTCTCTTCTTTTCTTGGCTACGTCTGCTGTTTTTTATCTGGTTGTTTTCTTCTGATGTTTGGTCTTTTTAACTTTTCATGTTTAGCAACTTGCTTGATATCATTCCGCAGTTCCTCTGGTTCTTGATCAATGAGGTTGAGGACTTCAGAGTGATTTCTGATGTTCTCTTTAGAAATGATGGGTATGTGTATTTGTTCATTTAGTAAATATATATGGTCACCCATCTTGTATTCATAAAACTGGATAAAAACATAATAAAAACAATTACATTTTAAAACAACAGAAATAACATGAAATAACATAGTAGCCAAGAACGTTTAGTTAACATAACTGAGTTCACACAATATGCTAAAGAGCATGTTAGGAACCTGTCCGGTTGTAAGTGTGAAAAAAGATTGATAAGACCCTTTTTCCAGTGCTGTTGTAACTTTGAACAATCACTAAACAAACTGTTGTATGTTGAGGACTACCGTAGTTGGAGAGTAAAATGGGACAATTGCCATGTTGAAGGGTTGTCTGTGAAATGTACTTGATATTATTCAGCCACTGATTGCACTGTGTCCAAATACTGGTCTTGCTATATTTTTTTCCTGACTATGAAAGAAGACCATTTCTTAATAATAATAATAATAATAATAAAGTTGGAAGGGACCTTGGAGGTCATCTAGTCCAACCTTCTGCTCAGACAGGAAACCCTATACCATTTCAGACAAATGGCTGTCCAGTCTCTTCTTAAAAACTTAAAGTGTTGGAGCATTCACCGCTTCTGGAGGCAGGTTGTTCCATGATTAATTGTTCTAACTGTCAGGAAGTTTCTCCTTAGTTCTAGGTTGCTTCTCTCTTTGGTTAGTTAGTTTGGTTAGTTTCTTCTTAGTCCTAAGTAGTACATACTATGATCTTCCCAATAAAAGTATCCCGTTCTAATCCATTTTAGGTCACTGATGCCTAAAATGTCAATGTAAATGATTAATTTCATCTTTCACTCTGTTGCACTTTCCATGTTCATAATTCTTATGTTCCATGTTCCTATTGTAATTCTGTCTCTGCAATTTTGGATTTTCCTTTCCTGCATGGGAAGTTAGCAACTGAGCATCCTACATTTCTTAATTCAGTCACGTCATAAACAGATTGGTATTCTGAAAGATTCTCAGTTGTTCCTCTAGCATGACCTAAAGGTCTTATCATCTGGAATCATAGTGTCAGTCAGTTTTTATTATATATCTATATGGGTCTCTTGATAATACAGGAGTTATTTTCCAATGTGTCCTCCAGCACAATATGAAACAATGGCTTTGACATTGTCACTAAAGCAATTATCTGCCTTTAATATCTTCCAATATTGCTGCTGTCCAATATAGGTGGCTACGTGCTTTAGTTGGGTAGCTGGAATGATGTTCAAGCCTTGAGAGATTATATGCTTTTGGCATTTTCTCCTGGCTATCTTTGCTCATCCCTTACAGCAGTGGTTCTCAACCTTTTTAATGCCGTGACCCCCAACAGGTCGTAAGTCGAGGACTACTCAACTGGTGCAGCACCATTTGCAGAATGGGACTTTTGGCGGGCTCAGCAGGGCAGAGATGGCCTTTCAAAAGCCAATAGAATAAAAGGGAGTAGCACAGCTAAGGAAAGGGGAGAAAAAAATAGCGGACTGCGTTGTTTGGCGACCCCCGTGAAATGGTCATTCGACCCCAAATGGGGTCCCGACCCACAGGTTGAGAACCACTGCCTTACAGGAACATGCCTCCCCCCCCGCCATAATAAAGCAGCACAGCAAGACAATTTGTATTTATGGTCAGCATAGTATGTATAATTAGGTATAAAAGGCACTTTAGGGTCTTGATAGTTATATGCATGACACTGGACTCTACTATTCTGGGGTCACTGAACCTGTTTGTGGTACTTTTTTTCCTCTTTCAGTTTTTCGACCCTGGTTATTTAGATACAGACTTCAAAAATGCTAGATCCTGACAGGCCACATTGTGGATGGAAACATAAATTTGTCTCACAAACTAAAAATTGAATTAAGTACCTAATTTAGTTTATAAACTGTACTGAATATTTCTTTCTTTTTCTCTTCTTTCTTTTTTCCTTTCATTCCGTTATTTCAGGAAAACATCAAGATTAAAGTAAATATATTGGAAAACACCGGGGATGTTCAGGAAAGACAGGTATTGTATGTTCAACTTCCTGTACTTTATTTAGCAAAGTCTTTTCTTTTTACTATTGTGATTCATCAGAAAAAAAAAGTCAGCTTAAGGATCTTTCCAGTGGTGGGATTCAGCCAGTTCGTACTACTTTGGCAGAACCAGGCCCAGAACAGACTTCCAGAAGTGGCATCCATACAGAGAACCGGTTGTTCACATATTTGAATCCCACCGCTGGGTCTTTCTCGTTACTATAATAGTACAGTAAATATATCGAGTTGTTGATTAACATTTTAGGAATATTCACATAATTCCTTTCAATAAATAGTTTTGTTATGTCTGTACTACTTCTGTGGGTTTGTAAAAGTTAGGAGTTATTTGTTGGTTTCAGATATGGTGCTTAATTGGCATTATTCTATATCAGTGTTTCTCAACCTTGACAATTTTAAGGCATGTGGACTTCAACTCCCAGAATTCCACAGCTAGCATTGCTGGCTGTGGAATTCTAGGAGTTGAAGTCCACATGCCTTAAAATTGTCAAGGTTGAGAAACACTGTTCTATATACATAGCAATGTGTCTGAATGTATGTATTTTGTATGCCTTTGTACAGTTTTCGAGCATAGTAGTTTGTCAGTACATAGTTTTATAGTATGAACTGACAGATTATGAAGTCCTGTGGATAATACGTGGACTTTGCTCAGCTCCTCTCAGTTGATGGTGACAAAAGGCCTAGCTATTTTCATTGTTCCTAGTGTTCCTGAGATATACTGATCATAGTTCCTAGCCCTTGCTTACAGAGTCTATGGAGAAACAGCGAACATGGTTTTCCACTGCTGGTTAGAAGTCCGAGGTACTAGTCTGAGTTAAAGGACTGGTTTACCTTAACAGAATAATTAATAAAGTGGTGCTCTCTCAGCTTGGTTGTTTTCTTGCAGATGTTTCATTATCCAAGCTAGGTAACTGTTTTGCTAATGATGGTAAGCAAAACTGAGAAGCAGTGGCTTGTCATTTAATGAGTATCTAAGTTACAGCCAGAAATTAAGTTTTTATTGTTTCAATGACTTCCTATCAAATAGTGTACATTCTGCTTCTTGCTCCTCTTGCAAGACCTTAGTTTTTGCACACAGTAATACTATACAGGTTACCGTATATTCCGGCGTATAAGGTGACTGGTCGTATAAGACGACCCCCAAATTTTGAGAAGATTTTCAGGATTTAGAAAGTCATTTTATACACCAGAAAATACAGTACAATATTGAATTTCTGTTTATAGATGAGCACAATAGGAGCTCCTTTGCTGCTAGAAAGCTTTGTCCTGTTAGTGCTTATTTCTGTAAAAAAAATAGGGCTGGCCACTAGGGGACAGATTAGTTTTAAATTCAGAGAACAGCTACCCATATATTCCTGGGTATAAGACGACCCCTGACTTTTGAGAAGATTTTCAGGGTTTAGAAAGTTGTCTTATACACCAGAAAATACGGTATGTTTTTAAGATACAATCCAAAATCACTAAAATCAGTGGCAATATAGTAAGAGATCAAGCCAGTTTGGAGGAGTGGTTAAGGCCCCAGGCTAGAAACCAGGAGACGAGGATTTCTAGATCTACCTTAGGCACAAAGCCAGCTGGATCTATCTCAGACCTAAGAAGAAGATAATGACAAGCTGCATCCGGAATCTTACCAAGAAGAACACAACAGAATAATAAGTTGGAAGGGACCTTAGAGATCATCTAGTCCAGAGGTCTCCAATCTTTTGGGCACCAAGGACCGGTTCCAAGGAGAAAGGTTTTTCCGCGGACCGGAGAGTGTGTGGCTTTGTGTGCTGCCTGTATCCCACGGATGGGCCTTTGCTTTTTGTGCGGACTGGTTGCTGGCATGCTGTGGCCCGGTACCGGTCCACGGACCTGAGGTTGGGGACCCCTGATCTGCTCCCAGCCTCTGTTCAAGCAGGAGACCCTATACCATTTCAGACAAATGACTGCCCAGTCTCTTCTTAAAAGCCTCCAGTGATAAAGCACCCACAAGTTCTAAAGGCAGTTCCACTGATTGATTTCACTGTTACTGACTGCAGAAATTTGCTCAGGCAGTCACCAGGAATCCACATTGACTCAAAAAGAAAAACAAACCAGTGAGGGCTACTATGGCCTTTAATTCTTTTAAAGGATGAAAGCATAACGATGGCAAATTTATCAGCATATTTGGATGGTAACTAATTTTGAATTGTTTATATTTATAACTTACTTGGATAATTGCTATCATGATTGTATAAATTAAACAAAACCTGGTCAACTTTGTATTTTGAAATGTATAAAACTCCCTTTTTATGACCCTGTACCTTCAATATATATTATATTCTGTGGATTTTCTTTAGGTTGTCCTTAATATTACTTATGTGAACGGTCAGGTGTATGTAAATGACTTTTCACTGAAGAGCGGAGTCACACGGATAAAATGTCAAACTTTAATCTGTGAGTATTTCTTACTTCACTATCTGGATTTTATGTTCCTCTGTAACTCTATAGAGGTAGTCCTTGACTTATGACTATGATTGGGACTGGGACGTCAGTTGCTAAAGGATGTAGTCCCTAAGTGAGTCATGCCAAGTTTATGACATTTTTGCTGCATTTGTTGAGGGAATCACTAGGGCCATTAAGCAAATCTGGCTTCCCCCGTTGGCTTTGCTTCTCCAAAGCCCCTTGGAAAGTCACAAATGGCAATCATGCAATCCCAGGATGCTGCAACCATCATAAATATGTATTAGTACCAAGCAAATTTTGATCACATGACCGTGGGGATGCTGTGACTGTGTTAACTATAAGGACTGGACAGGAATCACTTTTTTTTTTAGCACTGTTGTAACTTTGAATGGTCATTAAACTAATGATTGTAAGTTGAGAAATACCTTTCATTATTGTTTGCCTCCCCAGAGTCACTTTTCATGGGATGGGCAGGCATATACGTTTGATAAATAAATAAATAACTCCCATCACTAAAAAAAACCCCATCTGCATATAAGTTAGTAACAATATATTTTCATTTCTAAAGAATTCAAGATTATTTATTGGTTGTTATTTCTAGTTTTGAATTAATTCAGGGTAGCTCATTATTGTGTGTTCAGAACAAAATACAAATGGAGATTAAAAGCTGATTTTTATGAAAGCCCTGAACAAGTTCCTGTTTGGTTAATTTATTGTATCGCAGGCTGAGCTGTAGAAACTCAAGGATGTGACTCCACCCTGATAAGTCCTGTCCCTCTCGTCTGGCACACATCCAGCTGAGTTGGTGAAGGAGAAAAACAAGCATGGTTTCAGATAATCTTAGCAAAACACTTTTTAATGAAACTTTCCAAATTCATATTCTCTGTAAATAAAAAAATGGAAATTTTCCTGAAAGGATAAAAGAATTACCCAGCACATACAAATTTAAAATGATACTTATTAGAAGAAGCAAAAATTCTGGTTTGTTTAGTTTTTTTGCTATTATGTGCCTTACATTGAAAGGAAAGATCCTGATTGTACATATAAGCATAATTTACGAAGCCATAGCAATTACATGCTATTTATGAATGTTTTGTACATCATGTATTTACCTGATATACTGGTTGTGGCAAGTTTCAAGGCTAGCTTCTGAGATAACCTATTCTTTATTCAAGGACATGCTAATATATTTTAAAACTGGTTCTTAATAGTTTAGAGCAGGGGTAGGCAACCTCAGCTCTTTTATGGCTCATGGACTTCAACTCCCAGAATTCCTGACTCAGCATAGCTGACTCAGGAATTCTGGGAGTTAAAGTCCATGAGTCATAAAAGAGCCAAGGTTGCCCACCCCTGGCTTAGAGCAATATGTATAAAAAGATGCTGCAGAAGAAGTGAATCCCAACAGTGGTTCATTGTGGCCTTTTTAAAGGTATCTCTTCTGTGCTTTTTAGCATCAAACTAAATCTAGTACAAGTAATCCTCAACATATAACCATTCATTCATTCAAAGTTACAACAGCATTACAAAAAGTAACTTACAACTGGTCGTCACGCTTAACTGTTCCAGCACGGTTGCATGATCAAAATTTGGGTGCTTGGTAACTGGCGTGTATTTACAATGCTTGCAGCATCCTGGTATCACGTAATTGCCATTTGCAATCTCCCTAGTTGGCTTCTGACAAGTAAAGTCAACAGAGGAAGCCGAATTCACTTAATGATTGCATGATTCATTTAATAGCTGGAGTGATTCACGTAATCATGGCAAAAAAGGTCATAAAATTGGGCGTGACTCACTCAACAATCACCTTGCTCAGCAACAAAATTCTGGTCCCAATTGACAAGGATTACCTGTACATTCTAAAGCAGGGGTGTCAAACTTGCAACATCACGTGATGTGTCGCGACGTATCATGACTTTTTTGCCATTGCTGGCAATGGGGTGGGCACGGTTTTGCTATGATGCATCCAGCCTGCGGGCCAGCAGTTTGACATCCCTGCTCTAAAGAGACAAAGTCCTTGTCGTTTCATGGGGTTTTCACTGTGGAAAAGTGTACATTTCATTTAGTGCTCAAACAAAATTTCATTTGAAGTAATGTAGTAGCTAATTGCCTTTACTTCTCTGAATTTCTGTTAAACTCTGAAGAGAATCACCTGATCTCATGATATGGTGCCACGTGTTTTTCCCCAGATACATGAAGCAGAACGTTTGACTGCAAATCGTCACTGAATTTACCGGATTAAATGGAATGGGAGGAAGTCAGATTAGGGAGATTCAGTACTCATAATATCAAAAGCCATGGGAACAAGTCCTTGACACTCCAAAACTGGATCTCAGTTTAGTTGTGCATAATAAATGCCAAGGCTTCTCTGCCACACAAACATCCTGATGATAGTCGTGTTTTTTGCCACTGCAAATTTAATACAGTGGCAACACTAATTACTATTCTACTGAAATCAACATAAATGTACATGGTTTGGAAAGAAAGTTGGGTGTTAGCATGGTAGCGGTGAGCTACGGAATCGAGAGAAACCTATATTATAGGAAGACTGCTTCCATTTGAAAGTGAGGAGAAAATCGTCTAAGAGCTTGTCATTTAGTGTGCTATTCATATGTTGTGTGGTGGCTCAAATTAGGGATGCTTTATTTTGCATTGAAATATTAAATGTAAATCAAAATACCTTCTGTCAGCTCTTTTATTCAGTGATTTCTGTGGCCCACATAGGACAGGTGGAACTGCTGGATTTTCTAATTTTTCCTTTAGGTGTAAGAATGGTTATATAAAGTTAGTTTCTCCTAGTAATTCAGTAGCTTCTATCAAATAGTATGGAGAGGGGTATTCAACTTCACTCAATGAGTTGAAGAACCTACAAAGCAGACTTGGGAAGAAAGGAACTGCCCTTAGGGCAGGAAGGAAGAAGAGAGAGTGGGAAAATGTAATTGTGCAAAAGATGATCTTTGCAGAAGACAATCTACAAAGTAGAAAATATTCCTGTTTCCGTTTTAATAGACTATTTAGCCCTCTGTCATTTCTCTTAAAAATAACTGTGAAATTTATATCAGCTAATTATATTAACTCGGTATCGATTTACAATATGGCATCCAATCCAGTTTGCAACACTGTTTTATTGTGTAACTTGTTTTTAGATATTTTGTTTCTCTGCATGGCGACTATATGACATACAGTTATTTGTTGATAGTGAAGAATGGAAACCATGATACCTTATTGGATCAGAAGCAGTTAGGAATTGTCAGTGTTCGCATTATGGTCCACGAATGGCCATTGGCATCCAGCTCCAACTTGCAATTGATTGTTGTTCAAGAAGAAGTGACAGATATAGATGAAAAGCAGGCAAGTATTCTTTTTATAAATCATTGTATATACTAGCTTAGGTATAAATCCACGGTGGAGGATTGTTGAATGATCACACATTTTAGTTCTATAGTTTATCTTGGCCAACAAGCCAAAAATACTGCTGCTTGATGTTATACAGTTCTGTGTCCTCTTTTGTATTAAAATATGTAATTGTTTTTTATTTAAAAAGCCCTCAAAGATAGCACCCTTTTTATATTTTTGTAATTTTTTTTGCAGGAATTTTGATAGTATTTATATAATTATATTTTAAGAATGTTTATATATATTACATATCTCCAGAAAATGGAGGAAAGACAAACTTCTGACAAACAGGGTAAAGAAGACAGAAGTAAAACTGCAAGTTGCAATCATATGATGTTTTGCTTAACAACCAAGTGAGAAGTATTGTTGCAGGCCGGTTGTGCTCACATGATTTTTCGCTTAGTGACTGTGGTGTTTGGCAACAAATTTGCCGACCCCTATTCTGGGTGCTAAACAAGGACTACCTATAATTAGGAAACGAACTGCAAATAAAACAAAATGCTGTTAGAGATTTATACTGAATATTCTTTGTCTAAATCAGTGGTTCTCAACCTTTCAAATGCCGCGACCCCATAATACAGTTCCCCATGTTGTGGTGACCCCCAACCACTTATACATCACTGGGTGCCAGGGGTGTGGCCAAAGAAAAGGGGGAAAAAATGGCGGACAGCCTTGTTTGGCGATCCCTGTGAAATGGTCGTTCGACCCCAAATGGGGTCCTGACCCACAGGTTGAGAACCACTGGTCTAAATTAAGGAGAGAGAAAAGGCAGCTTATAATCATTCCTTTGTATCCTGTGACTTTTGGCAATGAATTAGCAGTGCCTTTTAAGAGATGCTGATGCAATTCATGCACAGGGCTACCTGTGCCAAAATAACAATGGGGACTGTGGGCTAGCTGGAAAAGAACACATTGATTTCTTCAGTTTGGCCAAGCCAGTAAACTGGAATGGGTAAGGTGATAGGACTAAGAAGATCCAGGTGCCAATGAATCCTTCAGAAGAAAAACTCACTAGGTGCCTTAGGGCCAGTCCCTCTTTTCAGATCAACTGATCTGACATGAGGGTTTTACTGGGGAAGAAAGAAAAGAGAGGGAGAAAATATTATTTCTACCTCCTAGAATGAAGATGGAATATTTATTTATCTGCTTAATTTGTATGCTGCCCATTCCCAAAGGCATAAAGTTATCTAAAATAAAGAATAGCCCTAAATAATGAAGAAAGCCTCCAAATATGAACAAAAATTAACAGTGTTAAATATAGTAAACTGGGGAATACAAATGTATGTGTCTCTTGGAGTCCCATCTTTAGTCACAATTTATTTATAAATTTCTAATTAAATAATACAGTAGTAACTCTTGGGTTACATTTTATTTTGCCTCTAAAAATATTCAGAATTCATATCATTCACTCAAACAGTACAAATGTAGAAATTAATGTTTGGGTTCAGACTTCATCTTTGTTTCTTTTGATTGATTGTTTTGATTGATTGTTCCTCACTGAGAAAACATAATCCATATTGATGCTAGAAAGGGAGCCGTTTGCTTTCCCTGATGTTATGATATACAATATATATGATATCAATATGATGATGATGATGAATAACAACCAGAGAGCATTTCCTCCTAATATTTCACGTACTTCATGAGGTGAGGGGAAAAAAAAAAAGGTTAGGAGCCCATTTAGCTGTGACTTAAACAAAATCAACCTTTTGTCTTGAAATCACTTTTTGCAACACTTGCTCTGATAGAAAAAAAAAGCTTGACATTCCCAACATGTGTGAATAAGAAAATAGCTCCCATTGTTACACTTCTTTTGCAGGTTAAACAAGATGAAGTCATAGAAATAGACCTATTGGTAAAGGATCAGCAAGTCCTGAGACATACAAACTACACTGTGCCTCTGGAGGAAAGCATGCTGTATTCCAGCCCGAGGAACAATGATATTTTGTTTACACTTCCAAACTTTGCAGGAAAAGGTACTCAGTCTTGTTGAGTTGCAAGAGTTGGACTTTGTTTTATTCATTCATTCATTCAGTTTTTATACCCCCCTATCTCATGTAAGTGATTCTTATTTTTTTCTTTAAAAAGATGCTATTGAATTTGGTTCTGGTCATTTTACTTAAGGGTTCAGACTTTTTTTGAGAGTTCTTCATAAGAAGGGAGTTGATTAAATTGATTCATTGTTAACTGTCTCTGGAATCATTCAGTGTTCATGGACTTTTTAGGTATGGATTTTTTAAGAATATCATAGCCAGGTAAATATATAAAATGATGCAAGCAATGATCAGAAAGTTCTTACCTTGGATGTAATGACTCTACCACTCAAAAAATTGATGGTCACATCAATAGCCATAAATTGGCCTCTCTTTATAGGCAATTCACATTAATATGGGGTACAATTGGTTTTGTTTTATTTGTATTCTTTCATAATGGTCTTAGGAAAAATTAAAACATGGGCCGGATCTGTGTTTCTCTCCTAGCAAGTTTCAGATGTGCATGGACTTCAATTCCTCGGGGAGTTATAATAATTGAAATCCACACATCTGAAAGTTGCTGAAAGTTGAGAGACCTTGGACAAGATGATAGCATAGTTGGCTGAACCAGCCTATCCAAAAAGTGCTCATTAATGCTTCCACTTCAGCTTGGCCAGAAGCATCGAGCCAAGGGCCAGAAGGCTCTGTCCTAGCCCCTGCATCGTTCAACATTTGTATCAATGACTTGGATGAGGGAATCCTGATCAAATTTGCAGATATCATAAAACTGGGAGATTCGGTTAAAACTTTACATGAAAGAAGATTTTAAAAAAAGATCTAGGCAACTTAGGCAGTGGGCCAAAGTAAATAGAATGGAAATATGTAAAATTTTATTATCTTTATAGGAAAAATGTAAGGCCCTTAGCATGGGATGGAGGAAACCTGGCTTAATCTGTCTCTTTACTTGTCTCTTTACTTAGTCTGTCTCTTTACTTAAAGAAAAGCGCCCTTGTCAATTGGAAGCTAAACATGAAGCAGCAATGTGGGTTGGAACAGATGACCAAAGGTCTATATCAACCCCATAATTCTATAAAAGATTTAAATAGTTTTGCACTTTTGGATTTTATTGCTTGTCCATACCCTGCTTCTTTTTACTTGCTCACAGCATTGTTTTTTAAAACAACCAACCAACCTACCTATCTTTTTTATTTTTATAAAATAGATGTTGAAAGTCCTCTACAAACTACCAGTCACTATCTTCTCAGGCAAGTAGAAACTACTGTAGATGAACAGACAATGCCTGGCAAATTGCCAGAGACTCCACTCAGAACAGACTCACCATCATCTTATAAGGTATGTTTTTGTCACAATGATTGTGAATGGTAAATATGTTCACCTACGGTAATTTGAGTTAATGGATAGGTGAGGAAATTATTGGTGCCTGATGTGTCTGGTATCTTCTCAGTCACTCTATCAAGAAGAGCCCTGCGGGCGCAGTGGTTAGAATGCAGTACTGCAGGCTACTTCTGCTGACTGCCAGTTGCCTGCAGTTTGGCAGTTCGAGTCTCACCCGGCTTAAGGTTGACTCAGCCTTCCATCCTTCCGAGGTCGGTAAAATGAGGACCCAGATTGTTGGGGGCAATATGCTGATATTTGTAAACCGCTCAGAGAGTGCTGTAAAGCACTGTGAAGCGGTATAGAAGTCTAAGTGCTATTGCTATTGCTAAGTGCCATCAAAGAAACTAAGTCCAAGAAAAATAAAAAGGCATGGAAACAAGGTGGTAATTAGAAGGGAGATAAAAAAGTTCAGATGGGGTTGCAACTGTGTACTTGAAGTCCTCCCCCTTTCTACATGCATATGGTACATATACTAAGGAGTGCAACTTCAGTCATACAAACATGACCGTCATGTTCAGATTATGGCATCTCCCCCATTCTCCCTTCACCTGATGCTCCCATGGCTATGTGTATGTGTGTGTTTGCGTGCCTTCGAGTCAGTGTTGACTCCTGGTGACTATCTCAACTAGTGAGACGCTCTCTGAGCTTGGTTGTTTTCTTGAAGATGTTTCATTATCCAATCTAAGTAACATCATCAGTGCAACAGTCAATGATGTTACCATTTGCAAGGAAACAACGAAGCTCAGAGAGCATCAAGAACCCCTCATTTCAATCCTGAGCTACAAATATTCTCCTTTATTGGTATATCAACTAGTCCCCACAGTTTTCTTGGCAAGATTGTAGAAATGGTCTGCATTTGCTTTCTTCCTAGGGCTGAGAGAAAGTGACTGGCCCAAGGTTACCTACCTTGCTTTGTGACTCAAGCAGAACTATGACTCACAGTCTCCCAATTTTCCTGATGCTCATGGAGGTGGCTAACAGTTTATTAGCTTGATTTTCTTCTGATAAGGCTACTCTGAAAAGCTAGTACAGATGGGACCAGGAACTCTCCCACTAAGCAAGGCATGATGTCACATGACTGTGCTGACTTATGACGGCAGTTCCAGCAATTTTAGTTACCATCGTTATTGAATCCCTCGTGGTCACACTGTACTGGTGTCATATGATTGCCAGTAATGACCTCTTGTCAGCTTCCCCATCAATTTCACTTGTTGGAAGCCAGCAGTGAAGGTTGCAAGTGACAATCACATGACTGCAGCCCACCACAGTGTTATAATTGCGGACTTATCACTGAGCACCTGAATTACGATCACGCGGGGCGGTCACCGTTATGAAGACCTGTCATCATTACCCCTCATTCACTGCTGTTGTAACTTCAAATAGTTGCTGAATGAGTGTATGTTAAGTGAGGAATACCCCTAAGCAACAGATCAGGTAGAAGTTCAGCCAGGACTTAAATGTGTCTCCCAACAGAAGCTAGGCCCCTGATGGATTTCTGTCTGATTGGCAGCTGCTAAATTCATCCATCCAGAACAATCAAGCTCCCCTGAAATTAGTACTAGGTTGCATGCCTGCTCACCACAAAGATTATAAAAAGAGTAAGGTGCTCCCAGATAGCTATAGGGCAGCTGATAGCCTTTTTGGCTCAGCAGTAGCACTGGACTGGCTACTAGCCCAAACCCGCTGCAGCATCGTTTTGGGCCCTGGTAGACTGGTGGCAAGTGCAGCTTCTCTTTGCCCTAGAAATGCGGGGGGGGGGGAGAGGGCAGGACCGAGAGAAAGAGAGAGAGAGAGAAGGCAAAAGGATGGCTGGGCCGAACTTAACGTGACCTAGGTCAGATGAAAAGAGGCAGGATCTGGAATTGCATATAGAGTGTTTGTTTCCACTGGTGGTATGCAGAACCACTTCCTGTCTACTAAGCCAGACAGCTGACCCATTGAGTTTGGTATTATTGAAACAAAAGACCACAGAATTCATAAACCCGCCCCAATTCCCCTACAGTTATTTATTCCCTGGAAATCCACAGAGAAGGTAATATTTATCAGGAAAGTTTATTTCAATTTCAGGGACTTGGCTTTCCTTGTTTTCGTGACATTGTTCCCGGTTAGGTATATGTGAAAGGGGCTATAAAGTTTCAGCTGGGTCAAAGTTAACTTGAGAAAAATAAAATAAAAAATGAAATGAATGTAGGGGTTTAGTTAAAAAGAAGTTGAACAGTGAGACTAGGAGATTATTTCAAACAATGTGGGAAAATAGGCCAAGGAATTTTCAAGGGGCAAAAGAGTAATGTTTGTAAAGACAAGCAACAGATGTGAAGTTCCCACATCGTGACAGAAGTGTGAATTATAAATGGATGCAACAAACGACCAAAGAAAAATGGGCTTTTGCAGGTGCCCTTATTGGATTTCAGTGGCCGTGTTGTTATTTTTGCAGGTGATGTGCCAGTGGGTGGAAGATCTGAGAAAGGAGCTTTGTACATTTTGGCTCAATTCTTTTCCTGTGTTCTTTAATTTTATGGAAGTCGTCGTGGTTGGAGTTGTAGGAGCAACTTTAATCATAAAAATATTAAAAGTGTTTTGTCCCTCGTGTGAAAGCAAGTAAGCATCTTTTTAAGTTTCTTTTATCTCAAAACAAACTTCCTTTGGTGATAGAGGTTTCACATATTTATTCAAGCTTAGACTACCGTAAATGCCGGCGTATAAGGCGACTTCCGCGAGCGCTGAAATCGTCGCCAAAGACGGGGGTCGTCTTATACGCCGAGCCGTCTTATACGCCGGAAATACTGGTAGTTTCCGGCGTATAAGACGACGTTCTAGGAATGCGGCCCGGCTATAAAGACGGGGGTCGTCTTATACGCCGGGTCGCCTTATATGCCGGCATTTACGGTAATTAAATTGATAAAAACAAAACTAAACCACAAGGTTTATATAACCACAAGGTTAAGGAACTAACACCTTGGGTCTTGATTTGATGGCCTTATACATCCAAACAATTAAATTATGAATATTAATTATTAATGGGAAATAATCACTGGATGATTCAAAAAGTGAGGATGCTAGATGGATTTCTCCCTTATCTTTTCCTCTGGCAAGAGCTCTGCTTAGAGCATGCACACTAAGTGGGAAGAAGAGGAAAAGTACTCTCGTTTGGTTCCTCCCCATCCCTCCATAGCCCCATAAAAAGCAGCATCAGATAAAGACGAGATGCTTTAGTTGACAGAATTGATTTCGTTCTTCCAGTAATTGCAAACAGGAGCCAGAAGATACACAACAATAATCCAGAGGAGTCCTTCTCCATGCCCCAATAGGTCTCATCTCTATCTTTGCACACCCATTTCAACACAACTGGGAAAAATGAAGAGCACGAGTGTCCACAAATTAGCAGTTAGCCCAGAGTCATTAGACAGGTCAGATTTTTTTTTTCTTAGGGAGCCTCACAAAAGCTCTGAAAAATTTATGGTAAATCATCCTGAAAGCTTATCAGTCAGTATCTCCTACTTGCTCAGACTTAGGGGCCAACAGCTTGCCATTAGCATCCCTCTCACGGTTTTGAAACCTCTAACGGCTGAAGGAGTCCCACCTGTGGAAGGCGCATTCACAATGGCCCCCACTCATATATTATTATACATAAGTGGGCCAGGACTGCTTTCTTTACAATGCTTTGTGGCAAGTAGCAGATTGTTTGAGGTACTAATTTCTCGTTGCACACTAGAAAAAGAAGATGAGGAAATAAATGAAGAAAAGGAAAACCCTAGCCCCAGTTCTTATAAATCACTTAGATGACAATGGTAGTCCTCCGGGAGTACGGATAATGGAAGAGGCAGGTGGATGGATTTCTTTTTTTTTTTGCTAGATAACATTCATCCTGAGAATTCTTTGAAACAAGATTTAATTACATTTTAATCTTTGAAGTTTATGTAGGCCATTTTCAGAAACCAATGATCTGGTTTTAGATTTTGAAACACTTTTCCTGAGTTGTTTTTAACTGTGAAGTTGAAATGTTTATATATGATCATATTTCTGAAGTTAGTATTTTAACTGACTTTTTTCCCCCTAGGGGAATCCTTCAACTTGATGCCAATGTCATACCTGTGGCTGCAATAAGTTTACTTCCAGCTACTCCAGAGAAGATAAACAACATAGAGGAAAAATGTATTTAAAAAAAACATGAGTAATTATTTGAGTTTGTTGACCTAATGAACTTGGCACTTGGATTTTAATATATTACTTAATTCAGCCTTCCGAATGTACTGCCCTCTAGACTTTGGGACTACAATTCCCAGTATTCATAAATAATTGTGACATATCTAGAGGACTCTAGTTTGGGAACTGTTGATTTCACAACAGTTCTCAGCCTGCTGTTTTTATTAAATTTATGAATGATTCATATTTAAAGGACAATTAAGGCTGAGGCCCAGAATAATTTTTGGATTTTTTTTTCATTTCAACCATTATAATATATTCTTGATTGCAAAAACTTTCCTTGCAAAAGAACTTCAATAAGTTCTAAGTTCAGTGAAATAATTTCCTGCTCCCTGAAATGATACCCTGTATCTTCCCAACTACTGGCTACAGGACACACCAGGCTAATCCAGGAAATTTGACCCAGACTAATGGAACAGAATAAGTAGCATCAACAGGAGTATAGACTTGTGATAATCCTAAAAGCTATTTTAGGCCCTTAAGTGTGCCTTATGGGAGAAGTCAAAAGCAAAAGAGTTTTCATACTGCTCTGATAATAAACAGTGGTGCAATTTTTGTTTGAATTTTCCCAAAAAATAATCTTGATATTGTAAGCACTTTCAGGGTTTTTCCTACTGAATTTATGAACATTTGTAAAAATGTGCTTCTTAAAAACTTACAATATACTACAAATGTCTTTCATCTAGGGGTACAAAAGGTCTAAAAGTACTGTATAAATTCAGAGCATTTTTATATACTGATTCGTAAGATCATCAGATCTTATTGCAAATTTGCTTCTTGATATAAACTGGAGACCACGTAAAGTTCTTTTTTCAAATTTGAATAGGGAGCAAATCTGGATCCAGTTCATTGCATTTGCCAAGTAGTCTTATCATGTTCTAGTGGTAGATAAATATTAAGTAGGGTCTTGTGGCTTCAACTGTTCATGTTTGGATAGGACTAATTACAAGCAGTTTATTTTAACTGAGTTGTAAGTCACTTTCTCATGTATCAAAATCCATAATTGGTGTTTGGAAATGCTGCTAATTAGGAAATAGTATAGCGTTCATGTTTCCTGTATGTAAACACTATGTTAATTGATGTTTTGGTGAATGCTGAAATAAGGTGTTTTGAGTTGTTAGCACATTTGCTAAATGAGAGGCACAATCCATTGATGTTCATTGCTCCAAAACTAAATTTACCTAAGACATTTTTCCACTTTTGCTGATTGTTACCAACACAGGCATTTATTTCAAGAATATTAAAATAACATTGTAGAACTCAAAGAAGAAGCTGCACATCACCAAGAATATCGCAGTTGCTGCCTTAGTGTACATTTCAATGGAAGACACATCAGAAAGGCACAGGACACTATTGTGTGCTCTAGAATTGAATAACTGAGTTGTGGAAGCAATTATATCCAACTGCTTTAAAATGATTTTAGAAAACATTTCAGTACAACCCATTGTTGGTAGTTTAGATGGCAGCATTGAAAAACATGAGCACAGAATCTCAAATAAAGGCTGCCATCTGTCAGTTAAAGAATATGAAACAGTTGATGTCACTGCTGAAGCACTACATTAGGTGGTGATACATTAGATTGTATCTAATACTTAAAAACAAAATAGGAAATAGTGCCATTTTTTTTTAAAAAAAGCCTTCTCCCTAGGGCTGAAAGAGGGATTGGCCCAAAGTCAACAGCTGGTTTTGCACCTAAGACAGAACTAGAAGCCATGGGTTTCAAGCCCTGTGCCTTTAACCACTATATAAACCTCTGCTGCTTAACCATGTGGCTTAACCATATGTTATGACAAAACCAAGATATTCATAACTAATGAATCTTGGGCAACCATCAACTTTGATACAGCTCAGCTTGAGCAACTTTAATGATTTAAATATCTAAGTTGTCCAAGAACAGATTATTGTTGCTACAGTTGATGTCAGTCATCAAATCAGCCAGATTGTGTCAGTCTTCAGAGTGCTGATATGTTGCCCTGGTGAAAAAGCCAAAATGCAATTCCTGTAATATTAATAGTGACAGTGCTGTTGAATGCAGAATCTTGCTTCAAACTAATTTGAAAAAAAAAATAAGATGATTTCCAAATGTGCTGGCTACCATTTCTATAATTGTATATTAGGGACTTCAGTCTAAGACAAAAGTGAAACAGATGTTGCAACCAGCCCATAATAACCGATGAGGTTCTGGATGCAATCATTTGGGCACATCTGCTGCATAACGTAATGCCCACTTTCTTATTGATTACTCTGGAAATCATGCCATGGGTTGGAAAAATCCATGACCAGCTCTTAAAAGAAATTTGGTTGAAGCATGTGGAAGATCTAGCAAAGCTCAAACTAAATAAAAGTGAAACTGCTGGGCCATAGCAAATTTGGATGAATGTGCTGTGATCTCAGCAGACCCAGAGCCCTTAAGCGAAGTACTGGTTAAGCTATCGGTTACCAGATGGTAGCTTAGTACTTGAAGCAAGCAAGATGAGTAATATAAAACATTTTTAAATGAACATTCTGTAAAATTGAAAACTTCCAAAGTATTTTTTTAAAAATAGAATATTAGTTGGTCAGGTGAAAGAGCTATAGCAGAGGTAATGGGCCATGGACCATTACCAGTTTGCGGCCTATTAGGAACTGGACTGCAAAGCTGGAGGTGAGTGGTGGGCGAGTAAAACCAAAACCATCACCACCCCAGTCCATGGAAAAAATTGTTTTCCAGAAAACGTGTCCCTGGTGCCAAAAAGGTTGGGGACCGCTGATCTACAATATTTACTTCAAATGTCTTATTTTCTGTATGGGACATCTAGATGCCCCTCAAGCTTTAAGTTTGAAAACAGCAGCTGTCACTCACTGTGGTCTTGTGAAATTTTTGTTCAAATAAACCTATCACCCTAACTTTGTCATTATTCCGTTGTTGGACCGACTGGCATATATTTGTTTGTTCTCCTCTTAAAGTCACATATATTCTGGCAGTAAATATAGAATATATAAGCTTCAAGTGATGCACTGCCATTTTTTCTGAAAAGTTGCTTCTGGTCTTTTATCATTTTCTTGACTGCCTTTTAGCCATGCTGGCATCCTTTTCATCTACCTAGTGCCTCTACTAAGCTCTGATATTCTTTGTGTCCAAGTGCTCATTACTGGAAGATGAATGAAAAATAATAATCTCAAAGATTTTTAAAATTCCTATTCTCCTGGTACAATTTTCCCTTAACAAATCTCTTGGAACCTTAATGCAATGTATTTTTTGCCAATATTTTATTTACATTCACATTGAATTTAAGAATGCTTTTCTTAACTGATTGAACGCTTAGGGTTTCACTAGTGCCCTCTCTTTTCTGTTCAGTTCCACCACATTAAATCTACGTGAGATAAATACTGAATTAGTGTTAAGTTCTAATTGTGGCTTAAAATACTTGCTTTTTCAATGACACAGAGGTGCTTTTTCAATGACAAAGGTTGTTTTGCACCGGCTTAATGAATGCTGATTTCCTGAAAAAGTGACCAAACTGTACATTTTAACAGTGACTACTTTTAAAAATATAACCACCAAAATGGAAATATGTGATATATGTGGAAATGTTGCAAGTGATAGTCTAGTGTGCCAAGAAACAGTACCAGTATGGCTGTAAGAACCTATTGATCCAAAAAATGCAGAAAATCTTTAATGGGAACTGGTCTAGACAGTTGGACTAAGAGGGGAAAAAAATGAGCTGTACTTTAAAAAACTAACTTTATTATATATGTTCTTACAAAAAGTTAAAAAATAGCACTGAGCACCCAGGAGTACTACTTTTTCATTACTTTTGGAACTCTTTGAATACTTAAGGCAGATTTCTCAAGGTAGAAAGGCTTAACATGATCCAAATTCAAAAATCCATTTCTCATATTTCTCAATGTCCACAGCAGAGACTGATTTTGAAACTTTTTTTAAGGCCATTTCAAAATCTTCCATTGTTGTTGGCATGTGCATTTCATCTCTGGAAAGATTTCTGATTTCTTCTGGTGTCAAGCCTTCAATACGCCTTCTCATAGCCATCAGTGAAGCATCTCTGTTGATAAAAAGAAAAAATGTGCCTTTAATGAGAATACAGAAATGCCAAACAATTAACACTAAAAGGCCGCTTTAAACATAGCTAAACCTTAGAATGCTTGCTTGCTTATTTATTATTTCTACTTAAAATCTACCCAAGCCGGAGTGTTTTACAGCATAAAAACAAGACAACAGACTCACAATCCAGATAAAAACTTAGCAATAAACAGATGGCAGATCCAGCCAAAACAACATATCACGTACATGACAAAGGCTTCCAATTATCCTAGCCGAAAGCCTGGGAGAGAAAAAAAAAAGTCCTTAAAAGCTTTCTGAAATGCCATTAAGGTGGGAACCACCCAAATCTCAGAGGGAATATCTCATTTCAGATGGCAGATGCCTTCATAGGTCTTAAAAGTCAAATTAACTGACTTGTGAGTGGTTAACTTTGGCTTTTAGTAATACTATTGGAAATATTTGGATAGCCTGGTATGTAATAATGAGAAGACCCAGCTTTTCATGCAAAATAAGTTCTTTAATGGCAAACATAAAGCATAGCTTCAGCTTTTCAAATGCTGATTTTCGGCAAAAATGTCCTAAATTGTGATTGCATTGCCATAGGACGCTGCAAATGGCCATAAGTGTGGGTCAGTTGCTAAGCTCCCAAAATGTAGTTATGTGTCCTGGGGGGGGGGGAGAGAAGAGACTTTGGAACTGGGTTCTAAGAACCTGGGGGGGGGGGTTCTGTTGTAATTTTGAACGGTTGCTAAGCATCTGGCCATAATTGAAGGACTACCTGTATTTGAATCCAAAGCAAAGAAAATGAACTGTAGGAAGTATGGATGTACCCTCAAAAGTCTTGAACCAAAAGACGTATTTTCCTGGGGACTGCATGGCTGCCAAAGGAATGTAGGAAAAGTTGCTGACTCTCTAAGAAGGCACCAACAGGCTCAATAGGCATACCTGTGACTCCCTCTGCATGAGCTAGTGCTCCAGGTAACATATAGAAAGTTGAAAAAAAAGATGAAATGAAGGTGCCACAATTTGAAAATATAAAGAGAGTTAACGGCATATTTTCAATATACCAATTTGGATTTCTTGACCCCTATTTTGATAAGAGTTGCAAAGTGAAAAAAAGCTGAAATGTAGAAGCGGATATGCACGAATCTATGATAAACCAGATCTTTTTCTCCAGCCCCCGATTTTCTTCAATCATTGGTTGTGCTACTAGCAGTTGTTATTAAGTAGCATCTGAGGGAGCCAAAGATTTCTCACGCCAGAATAAAAATGAGGCAGTAAACGGAACAATTGGAGCGAAAATGGAGAGAAGCAGAAAACAAAGTGAGAAAATAAGTGAAATGGATACGGAGAGGAAATAATGACTGTGCACAGGAAAAGGATGAAATAGAAATGGATAGAATTATGAATATAAAAATAGGCAATGTGGCAATTTTTTTTTTTAAAAAATTGCTAAGCGGGATGTAATTTGTAGAGTGTAGAATGAAGGGTAATAAAGATTAAAGAGCAAACAACTATCCTCAGATGAACAGGAATGGGCAGAAAAATAAAAACAGATGCAAAATGAGCAGAATAACCCAATAAAAAATGAGAAGTGGAACACAAGCCAGCATAGCAATCTTTAGGATCAGCTTTAAAAGATGGCTAGGAACTTACACTGACACAAGGATAGGGTGCTTTTCTCAGAGGATTTTCTTGCCAGGCAGCAAAATTTCTTTACTGATCCTGGCATGTCATTTTACTACTCAGGATTAAGCCAATCTGTCCATGCTAATGAAACTATAATAGCTTAAAGTGGAAAAAGGAATTCTAATCTGGCCTGTCCATACTATCACACTAAATAACAATGTTACGTGATCATGCTGGCTGGGGAATTCTGGGAGTTGAAGTCTGAATATCTTAAAGTCACCAAAGGTGAGAAACATTGGCTTAGTGTAACATGCACATGAACTCTCAGTATGGTTCAATCAATCAAAAACATTTTTTTAAAAAAAATTCCTCTCTCTAAAGTTATTTTTTTTTTACTGCTTTTTAAAGTTCTTTTACAGAACCAGTATTTGTACTGTATGGTATAAGATTAGGACTAGTGCCTTCAAATTAATAAAATAAATAATAAAAGAAGACCTGTGTGGTTTTAACATACCTGCACACATTTGTAATGTCAGCTCCAGAATAACCTTCCATATTCTGTGCAATAGTGACAAGATTAACATCATCAGCAAGTTCCAATTCCTGTAGATTTATTCTGAGTAGCTCCTCTCTGCCTTTGGCTTAGCAAAGAAAAATAACCAAAATGAAACATGGAGAAAAAGCATCCTTTAACCCTTGAATAACATGGTTAAAAACGTTTCAATTATATAATTCCCAATTTTAATTAAAAAGATCAAAATCTTTGAACAGAACCACTCAAATATACTTAGTTTGTTATCCTAGAACAGAGGTCCTCAACCTTTTGGGCACCAGGGACCGGTTAAGTGGAGAGAGGTTTTTCTGTGGACCTGATGGGGGTGTGGTTTTGTGTGCTGCCTGCATCCCATGGATGGGGCTTTTCTTGTTTGTGCGGACCAGTTGCTGGCATGCCGTGGCCCGCCACTAATCCACAGACCCGAGGGTTGGGGACCCCTGTCTTAGAATCTTAACCTGCTACTTAAGACTTTGCATGTAAATGTAAGGGTAAGGACTAAGAGGATACTTTGTCTAAACTCCATCTGGAAATATTCATTCTCAAAATCACTGTTCTTGCTTCCCAGAAATGGCAATTATCAAATATGCACTTGATATTAAAAATTCAGGATGTGCCAACTATATTGGGTTTTTCTGAAATAGAAGAGTTTATACCTGATGGCAAAGGAATATAAATTCTTTTTTCCAGGCGCCGTCGTAATGCTTCATCGATATCCCATGGAAAATTAGTAGCAGCAAGTACCATCACCATTTTGGAAGGATCATCATTTTCAGAAGCACCTCCCACTCCTATTATTAAAAGACAATAAAAAAATTAAAAGGCAATACAAAGTAATATATGCTCAAGTTTGCAAATCAGGAAGTTATGTCACTACACTGAAGCTAAATTTTAATTACCGTATATGCCGGCGTATTAGGCGACCCGGCATATAAGACGACCCCCGTCTTTATAGCCGGGCCGCATTCCTAGAACGTCGTCTTATACGCCAGAAACTACCAGTATTTCCGGCGTATAAGACGACTCGGCGTATAAGACGACCCCTGTCTTTGGCGCCGATTTCAGTGCTCGCGGAAGTCGTCTTATACGCCGGCATTTACGGTACCCACATTCATGGTAACAGGTTTAAACTTTAATTCAAATGCTTTATACTAATGAGAGTATTCAATTGCTTATAGTATGCAATAATATTTGATATACCTCTGAGACATTCTGGTTTGTGGGTTGTTTTTTGCTGGACAGATAAATATATGCCTCTTACACATTTTATTTGTTCATACAATTTCTACAGCTGCCCATCTCAATTCAATTGATTCTTTGTTTCCTAACTTCTGAAAGTGTGATCTTACAACAGAGAGAGAATTTGAAAAATCCATGTACAGATTCTAACACTAGAGTCAATCAAGTTATAGATGTTTTCAAACATTTAAATGGGCGACCAAATTTGTCTGCACAATCTGAAAAGTTCTAATTTAAGTTCTAATTCATTAAGTTCTAATTTAACAAATTAAATTAGAATTGGAGATTTGTAAAATATATATGGCATTTCCAAGAACCAATTTCCTTGCTAAGCCTTTCTTTACAGTTTTGCTTATAAACTCTTCTACTGTACTCATATTTGTCTACTGTTTTATTAATCTGTTCTGATCCAAGAAAAAATAT